GCTAAATACAAAGTAGAAAGAGTAGATGGGCATTTGTACTCAAGTTGCTTAGTGTTTGAGGATCTGTCTCATTCTGGAAGATATTGGAAAAAGTTATATAATTTTTAATTTAACTGAGTGGGCTACTTAGGAAAACCAGGGTGTTTCTGGCAGATATCTGGCAGGCTTTTTGGCCTTTTTTTCTCTTTTATGCTGAACTTGGCATTTGTGTGGGATTCTCCTCTGTGCTGTCTCTGAAACTGGAGAAAAAATTAACTTGGCTATGGTTTATTTGTATTATTAACAGCTCATAATTCAGCTGTAAATCACCTTTATTTATACTGCAGTATTTGAATCCAGCAATAATGCAGTTTCTAATCCTCTTGGAATCTGTAGAAAGATGGCTGTGTTGGGTGTAATGTTGCCAAACTTCACACCTTCAGTACTGACTGACACCTGAGATGTGTCACCTGTGTCACAGGGACTGATAAGCATTCTCCTGATGAATTTGGGACACCCAACTTATCATGTGGATCTAAAATATTACTCTATCTCTTCAGATTTTTGGGTTTGTTTGTTTCTTACGTTAAAATTCATGCACCTGAAATTGTAAGAAAAATGTATCCATGTCTTGTTAAGTGGCATTACTGTGCTTTTGGTTTTTATGTGCTGACTTTTCCTCCTGAGTTGCTAGAGGTACTTGATTAGGATTTCTTTCCCACTTTTATGATTTTTTGAAAGGACTGTTCAGAATGTTTGAGATAGTGCTACACACATCTGAGCGCATTCTTAGGTGTGATGCTGTTGATGACAGGATCAGTCCCTAGGTTTTGGGTTTTACTTCAATCTGCACGTACTTGCATTACAGGCAGCATTTTGTCTGATAAGATCATATTTTACATTGTAAATGAGCATGCTGCTGATGATATAAGTGTTAATAGGATGACGGAAGTGTCTGCTAATCTGAGTAAAAAGTCACTTGAGCAGTGGGAGGAACTTGATCCAGTCTCAAGTCCTGTAAGTGTGTCTTCTTGGATGAGTTCAGTTGAAATCTGGAGTGGAATAGCAGATTTTTTTATTGCTATAGTCAAAACCTCAACAGCTCTAGTGATGTTAATTAGGCTCAAAGTGCTAAGATTTTTTGTGAGTTTTCAAATTTTTCAGCATTTTTGAAAATTAAGAGAGCAGAGTTGCTGTTTTGAAGAGCTCTTTGCTCATTGCTCCCTGCAACACTGCTGACACACTCCCAGAGGAGTGGAAGCCACAGGGATCTGGGAGTTTCATGTCCTGGGCAATGAGTGGGAATTGTTCCCCAAAGGTGTGGGACCCTTTTTCACATGGGTACAACTGTAGTAAACCAAGAGTTTATGTCAATGCTGTAAATCTGTTCTATTAGCACAGCTGCCATTTCTAATACTTCCACTTTGGATGTATGCTGGCAAGAAGCCTTGGTGGCAAGTGTGACAGCTGCAATAGCTTCTTCCTGGAACATTGTACCTCTTGAGAGTCTCCAAGCTTTTCATCCAGGACTCTGTCATTCCCCTGTTAGAACTGTGAACACAGTTTAGCCAAGTTTCACCTATCTTTCAGACAGCATTGTAGGAATGTAAAAGTGATCCCTGGGAAAACTGATGTATGGGCCCACAGCAATAGTGGAATGGCTCTGTTTTTTCTTGCCTTGGCTTCCATACTCTTCCTTGCCTTGCTGTTGGTGATAGGTGAGTGGTCATCCCCAAAGAGATCTGAGCTTTCATATTTTTGTTGCCAGTAGTTTTGGTGGTCTGAGAGGTGAAGGATATCCATGGCGTGTGAGCCACCTTTTGTGTAGGCTGTATGAGGTGAAAAGATGAAGAAAATGATCTTTGTTGTTCTGTAGGCTGGTTTTTTTTGGTATTGGGTATTAGGAATTTTTTTTACACCTAGTGAACAAAACTAGTTGAGTAGCAGCAATTTAGACCAGGGGAAATAATTATAACCATTCTTTTGCCAGTACAATGTATGTCATTTAAGGAAATAGTTTAATTGTGTTACAGTTTTTCTTGTTAGGAGAATCCTCTCTGTCAGGAATTTTTAGTGTAACCCAACTAACACAATTCTTGCAGTGCAGATTAGCCATCTATTTCCTGCCTTTGGCTTAGTCTGAAATGAGCCTTTTACATGGGCCCTGCCCACTTTTAACAGGTAAAATCAAACATGACTATGTCCTCTTGGCTGGAGCGACATTTTTAGTGGAGCTTGACTGTAAAGTTACAGCAATATATGTACTTGCATGTGCTATTTTCCTTAGGAAAAAAAATCAAACTGAAGTGGTTCCCAAGTGTATTTTTAAAGCCCATGCAGGTGAGGTGTTGCAGAGGAAGCAGCTCTCAATGACAGAGCTCCAGGGAGGTTTGTGTATGCATACAGCAAGCAGAGCTGATGTGAACAGTGCAGCAGAGAGCAGAGATTGACTCGGTAGCCATGAGTGCTGTCACCCCAGAAAAACAGGTCTGGAATTGAGTCACAGCTCTCAGCATTCCTTGCTGTTTTACAAATAGCTACTCTTGTGACAACTTCCCAGCAGATCTGCCAAAGAAAATCATATGTAAGTTATCCTTTACCTTATGTGACAGAAAAAGCACAGATAGAACCAGTTTGCACAGTTGGGATCTTTATAAAATAATGGTCTAACAAGGTTCCATATGAACAGATTTTTACCATTCAGTCTTAATTAAAAAAAAAAAAGGTTAAAATTTCCGAGTGCTGGGTATTTTAGGATTCCTCTCTGCTCTTTCTTGCATATTTTTTCCCCCTCAAGTGACCCTTACTGGTTAGAGTAGATCCATTTTGATCTGGATATTTTAGGATTCCTCTCTGCTCTTCCTTGCATATTCTGTTATTGCTATTGCATTTTTTTCCCCCTCAAGTGACCCTTACTGGTTAGAGTAGATCCATTTTGATGAAGACTCAGACTGTTCAAACTGTAGTGATGATGGTTGTTTTCAGTTACACCAGGAGAGCATGGGGTGGGCGAGGCAGGCAAAAGCTGGGTGTGTTCTCACAAATAAGGCAGTTTTGTGTTGCTTCTGGAGCTTGAGTCTCATCCTGCCTGTGCCATAGAACTTCCCCCTGGTCAGGCCATGTGTACATGTGCACAGGCTCCCCAGGGGATCTCTGGCTTGAAGCAGAAACAGGGACTGCAGGCAGGGAGAGTTTCCCACGTGCTGTGTGGTCATAGAGGGCTCTCCTCCCTGCTATATTGTGCAGTGAAAGCTCAAGTTACGTTCTTGGTGAATTCAATTCCCAGCTTGGTTCTCTATGTGCAATATAGCAAGAGGATTCTCTCTAGAGTTAGCTGCTAATATAAAAGCCCCTCATGCTTGGATGCAGCTGCCAGTGTGTACACCATGAAAAAAATGGATACAAAGTTTTAAAGGTCTGTTAAGGCTTAACTGAAGCTTTTGCATTTTTTTTTCAAACTGTGACTAGGCACTCAATGGAGTAAGCAGGGTTGGGGGCTTGGCAAGAAGCATAGTATGACTTTATGCCTGTGATTTTATGTGCCAAGATAAACTGATTTACAGTTTCAAAAGTAACTGCCCTTCTTTTGTTTTGAGGTGTTGGTAACTCTTACAGTCCTGAGACAGAATACTTCAGATAATCCAGCCTAGACACTTCATGCTTTTAAAGAGCATTTAGGAGTCCTCCAATGACTTTGTTAAAACCACTTTTCTTACTGATGCAAGTGGTCTGCATGTATACATTTTAGCAATTAGTTGAAACGTGGAAACATTAAATGTGAGATCAATGGGAATTAATGTCCTTGAGTGTATTACCTCACAGCAGGGGAGGGAGAAGCCTGAAAAATATTTGCTGGAAAAATTAGAATTAAAATGTAACCTAGCTCTCTGTAATTGTAATTAAGTGGTGATTGGTAAATTTTCCTGCTGCACAAAAGATGTAATGTTCTGTTTCTCAACAACACTGTGTAAGTCAGGCTATTGATGCAGAGAAGTTCACAGTGACAAGTCTGTGTCACCAAGCTGTTCTGACCAATTCACTTCCCTGAGCAGGGCCTGACTGTTCAGACCTTCTCAGCAGATCAGAGAAGAGGAACTTGAAGTATTCCAGAACCAAGACCTCCAGCTACAATCTGTTTTGATTCCAGTGGAGAAAGCCCTCCACTTCAGAGCAGCAACTGCTTCTTCAGAGGCACCCATAGCATTGTATTGTAATTTACAGCAAAAGGATAGGTTTGCAGTCAGATGTTTTTCCTAGCTGTGCTTGACTTTATTGTGTCCATTATGTCTGTTTGATGTATTAAACAGGAGTCCAGTATTGCAATCAGAAATAATGCTCTCAGGTGAAGAGAGAACAGTAAGCTACTGCAACTCTAGTTACATTTTTAGCCAGCATTTAGTCATCGTGGCTTGTTAATGATGCTCCAGGAACTTTTAACAGAATCTTTAAGTTCTGTTCCTTATTCAATACAGTGGACTAAAGTGAATTTGAAAGAGGTGAGAAAAAATCAGTTGTGTACCAGTTTCTGAAAATATATTTAGGAAAAGTTGCTAGGAAAAAAATATGTTCATCCTCTAACACTCTGCGGACTAGGAACAGATTAAAAATAAAAAAGAAACTTTTATCTTAGAGGATAATTAAGACATCTCACCCTATGCTAACTCCTTGCAACTTACACTGATGAAAATCAGATAGCATGATAAGGTGGACAGAGAAATTCTGTGAATCTTTCCTTAGTTTAGCATTTTGCTACAGGTCCCTGTGATTTCTAGAATCAACTAGTTCCCCCTCTATATGAACACTAAATGTAAAAAAAGAATGGAAATAGTACTATCTCACAACAAACATATTCCTATTCAAGTATATCAACATCACCTTTTGATGGGATGGAACACAACATTAAATATATCTGCCACATATATCAAAATCATGCCAGGAGAACAAATGGTAATGCCATCTGAAAGCTTGGGACAGTGTTCCAGCTCTCCAAGAGTGAGCTGGCAAACATGAGAGAAAACATCTATCAGAAATACACAAAGTAGCAATTTATTCAGCATCATTTTAACTGTTAAGGGAGAAAGCAGTGGAGTCTTTCACCAAATACAGTCAGCACAGATGAGATCCATCCATAGGTTAAGCCCTCTCTAACATTATTAGTACAGCGGCTGGGAATAATTTCACAGACTGATTTGAATTTTTTTTTTATTTGATCAGAAGATTTAGAGATTTATCAAGAGACACAATTTTATGATTCTCCAGAAGCATCTGATCGGAATTTTCCAAGTCTTGTGTTTTCTATTGTTTTGTCTGTTTTCTTCTTTCTGAGTTTGTTCTGTCATCAGAAAACTACCCTTGCAAGTTCAAACAGAACCTGTGGAACAGCAAACACATTGATGTGAATTTTTATTTTATTTAAAAATCTTTAAACGAGTTTACACTATAAATCAGATAATCTGAAAAGTAACTGTAGCTTCAATTTGCAAGTTGCAAAGAACAAATACTAATCCCCGTGTACATCACACTAATACAGTAATCTTAATTCTCAAAGTATGAAGTATAGAAATTGCACTTGTTATTATGTTCTTAATATTGAAAAAAACCCCACCAACCTCTATGGTGATTAGTATTACTATCATCCACTCAAGGCGCAGCGCGTGCTTTTCATTCAGGTGATTTCGCATTAGGTCTGTCAGCTCCATGCAGTGCTGGAGCTTTTCATTCATTACCTGCAAGCAATTACAAACATCACAAATCTGGACTCCAGAAATAGAATCAGATCACTAAATAGGGAAACATACTCCACAGAACTAGAAAGGGGTTAACACCTCTGCAAAATAGAAGAGAAAATTAATAGAACAGAAAATTCTGTAAGACACAAGCAACAGAAGCTTCAGTATAAATGAACCTGTTATTTCAATGGGTTCTCCAAAAGAATATAAATTTAGATATGCATCTGCAGTATTGAAGTGTTTCTGGGTGATACCTACTCATGAAAAGAGTCATAAGCAAACGGAGATACAGCTTTCTGGAATGCCTCAAAATGAAATATTTATGATTGCTGTACCAGCAGGAAAGGTAGTTTTTGTGCTTATATTCTGGTTCAGCAGTAAACATTATGTCACCCTTCAAGGACTGATGTGAATGATCATGTCAATAAGAAGAATCCACTTCTCAGTTCTTCTACGTATATAAAGCCTAATTTAGTGGCCCAGGAAATAAATAAATAATTAATGTGAGGCATGTTAACCTAAACCAGGGAAAGGTGCGAGTGGGCTAATAACACCTGGAAATGGGAAGAGTGTATGATACCCTATTTATTCCCTTTCTGCAATTAAAGCACATTCACAGAGCAATCTGTGACCCTGCTGAGCCAAAGACAACTGATCTGAGTGTGGAAGAGTCTCACAACAGTAAGACACTCACCTTAACTCTGCGATTAATGTTGAGAAACTGGCAAGTCTTGTCATAAAGCTCTTCCAGTTTTTCTCTATCCCAGTAGAAGTCTGGTGTTATTAGCAGGTCTGAGCTCAGATTTATACGGTGTCTAAAAAGAATGGGTACTACTTACTGTAGTTCAGGTTTCCTCTTGACATGCAGTTAAATAAGAAACATTCTACATTCTAAATGTAGAAAAATTCTAATTCTACATACCATATGAAAAGAATGTCCTTTCATAGTAAAAATGCAATTGGAGTGATTATTTAACATTGGTCACATCTCCTGAAACTTTTCTGGGAATACTCTACTGTGGAACTCTTTTGAACATTAATGACTTTTTCCTTATGCCATCACTGCCTCCTCAACCTGTCACCTTCCTTAGTTTTCGATACCTGTAGAGAGGTCCCTGACTATGCTGGTGGCTCACTGAAGCAGTACACAAAATAACAATACAGAACTCCTAAATGTGACTGGTACTGCATGCTGGATATGTGTGTGCAGCACACCCCTCAGAATCAGGCAATGGTCTAAGCATCATAAAGGCTAAAAGCTAAAATCTCCTACCTTCAATGTATTGCTAACATAAACCTTTGGATACCTGCAACATCACTCTTGATTACTGATCAGTCCTTCAAGTACCCCAGCATCTGAAACAGGAATTGTTTTTTAATTTTACCTTGGAGATTTTGGTGGGATTTTTTCCTTTTTTTTTTTTTTTTGAGTGTGTAATGGTCTGTATTGTCAAAGGCCAAATTTCACTTGAGGGAGGAAAAAACATTAAAAACAATAACTTAGCAGTGGTTTCTGAGTAAGTCAAGGGAAGAACAGAACTCAAGAAAGATTTTTACCAACTCTAGGCTGTAGTTAACAGTTCTACACCTACCCACCTTTCTCCTGGTATCCTTTACATGCTGTAGTATCTACTGTAATTACTAGTTTAAACACATGTTGCTGGACTCAGGAAGGGAAAAGGGTGTGGTATTTGGTTATTTATGATATACTGCCTGCTTAATGCCTGCAGTTGAAATGCCAGTGTGAGTGGTAAGCCTGTGGGTCCCCTTACTAATGTAAATAGCACATGGACTCCAGTCAAAATGAGGAATTCTCCCACCCTGTCTCACCCTGCTCTATTTAGTCTGTATTCTTCTCTTTGTATCCTGCACAATGTAACTTTTGCATTCTGTGTAATACAATGTCTTAGGTGTAACTAAAGAAGTTACCTTAGTGCGAAGAGTTCTCCAATTTTCTGCATCACATCTGCATGAGAGAGTTTCACCTTCCTTCGTGACTTTAGAATCTGAAAAGTAGGAAGTTCTTCACTGCTTGATCAAGTAACATGTACCAGTAGTTAAGAAGTCCAGAGTTTTACAGCCTGAAGTATCTCAGAATCTAAATGCATAGTGCACTTACTAACATTTTAGTTTTGTTTGCTTAAGTGCTTTGCTTCTCTAGCTTTCTAAGAATATCACTGTGCAACTGGTTCATCCAGGCTTCTCAATAAATCACTGAGTACGTCACCAGTAGCCACAGAAATACTGGGGCATTTTCTCCAAGTGTTTTCCTGAACAAGAGATGATTTGTTCTTCCTTCCTGCTGTTTTTATTTTAAAGTCATGACAGTGTTCTTTTACCTTGCCACTCCTTAGCCTTTCTACAGACTTTCTCCTCATAACAATGTATTACCATTTATTTCCTTCATATAAAATTAATAAACCCAACGTTTTCTCTTTTGAACCCTACAAATCTCAATTTTATATATAACATCATATGGGCTTTGTACTGTAATTACATATCATGAAAAACTTTTAAGTAATTCACTCAAACTCTTTATTATGTTCAAGTCAAACACATTATTTTCAGCCCAAGTTATAGCACACACTGAGTTTGGCCAGGTTTTTAAATGCTGCTTGTCCTGTTACACATACATTTCACCAGTAGCAAGTGACAGTGGCACAATATGGGAAACATTATTACAATGCAAAACCTCACTCCCAGCCCTTTAAAGGCTGATGATTTCTTGTCCAACCACTCTGCAGGGGTTCTCAGCTTCTCTACACTGATGGATTTACGATCAAATATATTCAACATTCAATTCCTTTTTTCCTATCCTCAGCTACATATGGACTGATCTTTTACAAAACACAGGAGAAAAGGAGGGGAACAAGGCCTCACCTCAGGAATTGACTGGATAGATTCCACAAAGTTATCCAGTAATGATTCCCAAATAGCTAGCTTCACTGCAACACAGAGATGACAAAGCAGAAGACTGTGAGAAGTACATATGCTTTCAAGTAGTTCTAACTTTAAATCTGCCAACAGGCTGCTTCAGGACATGTTGATGCTTACAGACATTATTTGCAGCAAGTTACAGTTTGTACTATACAATCACTGTTCATGTATCAGTGGGCAGATCTGGGCTGGGCACTGACAGCTCTGCACACAGAACCAGCTTCACCATGAGCACAGCTTTCTTCTGCGAGTGATCAGTTCAGATCCTGGAGAGTTTTTGCTTCAGCTCAGAAGTTGTGTGTCCAAGTGCTCTACTGGATGTGTGAGCCTTCTGCAAATTACATTCCAAGGAGGCTAGAGATAATGAGCTATGCTGGCGTCAGGCTGACTTCATGTGGCACCTCAAGAGCCTCCACTGCATTTCTGTGTCCTAGAAATGGACAGCTCTCATTCTCCATTTGTGCACTATTGATGCACTGTGCTCCAACCACAGAGTTAGCTTCTATAGACACGCCTGTTCCTGTTGAAACTCAATCCAAATTTGAGCAATCTTCTGCTTTGTTTTTAGGTGAGTGTACTGTTACTGAAGATACCAACTTTTGTTCCATGGAAGCTTGAGTTCAGCACTGGCAACACAAATTCTGCTATGCCTCAGCTTGAACCTTGCAGTAAAATGTTTCTGCAAGATGATAATAAAACTTGGGCCTTGTTCTTTAGTCCACAGATTCCCAGATAACAAAGAAGTAACAACAGATCAAAAATTAACCCCATTAAATCTGAAAAAATTAATCAGGGAAGATTTAATTGTCAAAATGAACTCTTCTGTGGCAGTAATCAATAGTATCATCTTGTTAGGACACTGCCAGTAAACTCAATGCTGAGCATTTTGCACACTCATCTTTTGAATACAGAGGCCTAATCCAAGTCACTGACTTAAATGACTTCAAATTTAGCCCCTGAAAAAAACAACATCCAGTAAGCATTTCATCTGTCACCTGTTATTTGACAGAGGCTGGTTTCTGCCGTTCATAAATCTGACTAGGGACTGTACTTGCATCCTTTATTTTTACTGAACATTATCTCCTGGCAATAAATCCCTTGCTCTCTTTTAGGAGGCACTACTCTTCCATACAGTCCCTTTATGAATAAGAAAACTATAGAGAACAACATGCTTTTTTCTCAACAGCTCTTCCTTCAACAGTCAAGAACCACTTACTTACACTGCACTCCTTGATGAAATGGTGTAGCGCTTCAAAAGTGTGCATTCTGTTTCTCTCCTGTGTAAAGGTGCACTTTCCCAAAATACTACTGGAATCCAGGAATTTACCCCAAAGGCAGCAGAAGTAGACAGACCAGACTTCCCTTAAAGGCCTTTCTGAGGACAGCCTTACTGCTGCTGGTTCCTAACTCCCACTCCATCATCAAGGTCTGAAGCAGTAGACGGGTGTTATTTGCTCAAGCAGCAGGATGCCTTGGTGAACCTGACTTCTTCACAGTGCCTCCCACTGTCTGCTATCATAGCTAATAAGCCTGCAAAACATTATCTGTGATTCTGGTCCACATATGTGTTACTGATACACCTCCCCAGCTGGGAATAGCTGTCCTGTATCACTTCTTCAGCTGGCATCTAGCTTTTTCTCTCAGAGGAAATGATGTCAGTATATGTCAGTCAAGATTACTGAGAGGTTTCTAATACTGAACTCTACACTCATTGTTATCCTAGGATAGTTCTCAAAGGTGGGGAACAGGATGCTCAGTAGAATGTGTATCTTTTGCAAAGCATGTTTGTTAATGTGCTTTGTTCAGCTTTAAAAAGGTTTCCATTGAATAAAGCAATTCCAGTTTACAGAAAACACGGTAAAAGTATTCAAAACAAATCCTCTCAATCTGAAGCACAATTGCACTTTACACAGTTTGTCTAAACCAGATACCAAGTTTTTTCCAGCCTGTCACTGTACAAGTCCCGCTTAAAATGACATTTCACAAGATCTGTAGCATAAACTACACAGTACAAACAATATTAACTTACCAGAAAGACAAAGAGCATTTGAAAAGGCAAATTTCTGCAGAATAACTTCATCACTATCCAGCTCAGAATTTAACAAGATTTGTCCTTTATGGAGCTTTGACTGACCTCTGTTAAGACAAGATTGAAGCATCTTCATTGATCGAGCCACCAGCATAGGAACATTTGAAGAATAATCGACAGTGCAAGAAAGGCTGGTTGTTTATTTAGATAAGGCATGCCATGTCTGTATGGTGGCATCCCCATCCTTGCATTTTACTCATGTTCAACCTGATGATATTCACAACAAATCACTGAAAATTAGTTCCTCAGTCTAAGACCAATATTATGGCCAAATTTTCTAGGTGTAAATGCAAGTGCAGCAAGCTGTGATGGTAACTGTAGCATTGCTGCATACACACAGATTATTCAGAGTAAGCAGGATGCTGGCCTCTCTCCTGCTCTTTAGCTCCTCTGTTATCTTTCTGTTTTCATTTTCCACTGTCACTCTTATCAACCTTACTCCCCCCCACTAGGATGTTTCTTTCCCTAAAACCTCTAGTGCATAAGGGGCAAGAAACAAAGAAAAGGGGACAAGAGACTTGTTCAATTTTTCATGTCAATCTCACTATGAACACCACAGAAGCAAAATAGAGAATGTCAACAATTTCAAATTACACAACTACATAGTACATGCAGTTTTCAAATGGTCAGGAAAAACCAAACACCTGTCTCCTTATCAAGTTACTTTAAATAAGTTGAGCATCATTCACTCAGTTCCTAGTATTAAAAGTGTCCTGTCTAGCAGTTGCTTTTGTGCGCTGTTGGAAAATGACAGGTAATATACATAATAATTTCCATTGTGAAATATTTCTGAAGAGGTAATTTTCTTTCCATGATGAAAAAACATTATTTAACAAGGAAGGATAACTTGCCAGGTTTATCATTACACAATAATCAAGCTGTAACTTTCCTACTAAATGAAGTATATGCAGAAATTACATCTTTGTATATGAATCTCAAGGACATGGAGAAAACTTAGAGAGAACATTCTCTTTAAAAGCAGCCTCATCTCAATAATACTTATTAGTGTTTTTGCTGTGACATACATAGTTTCTGTTTGGGATTGCTGAAGAGTTGTGTGGGCAGGGAACTTCTTATTTACAAGATCTATTGTATAAGCAAATCACAAAGGCCACTCCCTGCAAGTTTACCAAGAATTTATCCACTCAGATTTATAGTGTTGTTTCTTTATTTTACTTATTTGGAAAAAAGTAAGGACAAGTATATTTTTAGTAGCTGAATTACTTTTGCTTGAAATTGGTTTAGGTGTCTGTTAGCTTTTATATACAGAACACCTGAAGATACTTACTCTCCTATTCTATAGTTCAGCTCTTCATTCTCCCAATGGACCAGTGCAACTTCGTATGGCTGAATTTCATGGTGCTCTAGCACTCGCATGATATTCTTCATCTAAGAAGGAGACAATTGCAGCAATAGTTACCATGCAGTAAATTATCACTCTGCAAAGAACATGCATAGGGCAGGCTGATGAATGCAACCTTCATGCTGAAGTTATTTACCTAACAATGAAGAGGTACACTAAATAATGAAGTTATTGTTAACATAGTTTACTTCTGAAACTAGTTGTGGTTTCAGAAGAATTTGTAGCTATAACAGCTGCAAGGAATCTGGGAAAACTGAAATGTCATTTTATATGTGCACACACGGACGAGGCTAAGGATTAACCACAGCAGTAGTAAGGGCAACATGGATGTATTCAGTATTGTAACAATGAGCTGTACTAGATTTTGGAAGATGTCTGAGTGTGGGAATGAATCTTTAGGAGAAGTACCTTAGGTGGTTGTTTCTGATAATATTACTAGTTTGCTGCTAAATCAGTAGTTTTGTTTTTGATTGCTGCTGAAATCAGTAGTCTTGTTTCAGCTACCAGAGGTCAGTGCTATTACAGAAACCCTTTACCACTACAAAAATCTGGAAAATTTGTTTCAGCTGCCACATTCACCCCTGTAAATAGTAAAATGTGCAATTTTAATTGCAAAAGTAATCTCACTGCTCCTTTATTCTCCAGCATACTAAAACCTGATGTAGGAAGAAAGAGCCCTTTTCTCTCACAAAACTTTCTCCTCTTGACATCTGACTTAGGATCTCTCATCCTTGTTCCTTTTTATATGCTACAAGGCTCCTCTCAAAAAAATAATCTGCAATTAGAACAAATTCTCAACTAAAAAAGCACTCACCTATGAGTTTTTAAAAGGCATTTAGCTACACAACAGCCAACAAAAAATCAAACCACAAAACCACAAAACACTTTTGATGCCTAAATTCTTTAGAGTTCAGTCTTCTACTAACTAACTTAAAAAGCACTCTCTTTTTAAAATAAAAGATCATAGTTCATCTTTTAGCACAAAACTGTACCCTATAAATTTTTCATAACACATATTCTCCAGGTAAAGTACTTGGAAAAAAAAATCTGTTGGATCATCTGCAAGAGGGATTTTCTTTGCACTGCTAGCTTTCTTCATTGCTTTCAAGAATTTTGGTGATACTATCTATGTAACACAGTAACATTTTTCACTGAAAAAACCCCCCTCAACTGTACAGCTGAAACAGCTCATTACATAATCCTGAATTCAATATTAACATGACTAAGACTTGCCATATAATTCTAGTCTTGTGATAAAAAAGGGTATGGAAACATAGGAAGCATCTGCTCTGAGGCCAGTCACCTCAGCCAAACAGCTGAGGGACAGTTCAGCAGCAAAAACCTCACACTGCTTCTAGGCCCAGCCTAATTTTATAGAAGGGACTAGTTGTGACACAGTAAAATTAATTAGAAGAGATGTTCTGGAGTCACTAGCTGCAAACTCTTGCTATTATGGGCATTTACGTCACACGGTTTCCTTTTAAAAAAACCTCAGAGCTGGTTTTTTTTTTTTGCCCTTGCTATTTTGGTAAGGAAGCTGCAGTACCTTCCTACTCAGGTATTTGAAATTGCTATTTTGTATTTTAAGTTTCTTTTTGTGATCAGTCCGTATTTGTTACTTCTTATGTTAAATGTCTGTTAATTTAAAATATTCTTTTTCTCCTACTAGTAATTTTGGGGTACTTTTGTCCATTTGCAGTGACATTCTACATTCTGGTTTACTGAATTACTTTCAGTTTCTGTTCTACAGACCAGTTTGGGGTTTTTCTTCCTTCATTTCAGTTCATTAAAGCATGTCCATAAAAATACTTCCTGTATTTGAGAAAGTCATTTGGCAGTTAAAGTTTTGACTATGATTTCAATAAACAGAAAGGGGCATTTTTCCTCCTCTTTTATAAATAAAGCTAGCAAGGGACCAGCTACTGATACTAGTATTGACCAGGAAAACAATGTATCAAATTTTCAAAGGTATTTGAGCTTGTACAATAACAGGAGAATTTTCAGAGTACTCCAGTGGGCTAAGGTGTTCAACTCAAAGATCATCAGGAGTTAAAGCAGCTGGTTTTCAGTAACACTTGTGAATCAGTAGTGTAGTTACAGCCATAGCATCCAAACAGGCAAGGTTTGAAGGGAGAACTAGTAAGACACCTGATACACTGACACCCCCCAAAACAGAAAGGAAATCAGGAACATTTCAATTGTGAAACAGAAGAAATGAACTTGAATCCAGAAATTGTTCATGTCTGGAAACAACTGCTCTATGTTTTCGTTTACCCCAATGAAAATCCTCCTGTGAACTTCTATGCATCTCAGTATCATTTATTTAATACACCACTTAATTTCACATCGTCCTTCTACAAATAAGGTCAGTACTTTTTGTATCTAGAATCCAGTTTAACCACAATAATAAAAATACATTTAAAACATTAAATAACTATAAATGTATTCATTAGAATAGATATGCTTCTGGCATACCCTTCTAGGTCAGCAAAGATCACCAAAATAGAATATGCCAGCAACATATTTAATAATTATATCATCCAATAAAAAACTTCCTTCAGGAAAATTGCTGGCTGGTAAAAACACAGAACAGTATTAACAAGTTGCTTATAATTCTTTTTTCTCTTTCAAAGTTGTACAAACATAAGTCTTTAATAACTGCCTTAGATGGAACAGAATGGAATAATCCTTCTAACATATTTTCTGTTACATTAGTGCTTTTCAAACAGTCATTCACAGGTAGATTTTTCTGATCTACTTTTTCAGAATGTAGAACTGCGAGAATATTCTTTTTGTCAGTCTCACTAAATTAAGGTTTTAGATTTTTGTCTTAAGTAGAAGAATTTCAGAGGTGATGTGTCAGCAGCCCACACACTTGAGGGCAGTAGCAGGCAAGAACCTGCACTCACTGGAGAATCAATCAGTTTTTTTCCTTCACAGAAAGATCAATCTCCCAAACAAACCTCTAGCATGCTGAGCTTTGTGAGACTGACAAAACACCTGCTTATGCAGTTTTAACCAAGTTTCACTTTACTTACACTTTTCTCTTCCACATTCCAAAATACAACAGCCCCTTCCCTGTGAATTCAAGGAAAAACTGAGTGTAATCATACTGTTTTAAATGTATTTTAATGGAATACTCAAATTGTACAGTGGTAATTTTTGTCATTGTGAATCAAGAAACTTAAAACTATCTTCACAGAAATTACATACTAGTTGCTTTTTAACCATACTTCAATGAAAACAATGAGAAGGTTTTTTTCAACCATTTAAATAATTCTGATTTTTTTTAGTCATTCTGACTGGACAGTTATTCCTTGAGTTTCATGAGGTAATATGATTCAAGATCTAGCAAGCTGCACTACTTCCTTCACACCATTACTATTAATGACTTAATGTTTTGAGCATGATTTGTAGCTTACCTGAAGAAAAAAATCATGCCAGGATCATCTTCTTTTGCAGATTTCTCAGTACTGACCACCAAAACATTTGCAGCATCTGGTTTGAAATAAATGAAAAAATTGACTATTTAGTCAAACTTCTAAACATGACAGCTGATAGCTGTAAGCATGTGATTCAACAGTTGCATACTAACACATCAGCCAGTTCCACATTTTATTTTTCTGATAGAAATGCTTGCCAGAGACCAACTACAATATCACACTAATCTGCTTCTCTGAACTAGAGAACACATTCTAGACCAACTGGGCCTCTGCTGGAAACCTCATCAGAATCTTCAGCTAATGAAAGATAGTAGCCTTGAAGAACAAAACACTTAGGAGAACACTGATGCAGACATTGTAAATAACCAGGAACAGAATACAGAAGTGGACATACAATGTGAGAGAACTGTGGAAGTTTTGCACAGTTGCAGAGAAATTACCAGTCAAATCTGCTTGTCTGGAAGCTCTTCATTTCTATACACTAAAGGATTAATCTGCACTCAAATTGTGCTGACTTTGCTTTGCCAGTCAGAAACCTGAAAGAATGTACCCCCAAGACAGGAGAGCCTATACCTGCATTTCTCTGCACATCAGAAGTGTGCTTTTGAAACAAATCTTCCACCTACTCTCCCTTACCACACTTCTGATGTGCACTGCACAACAGTACATAAAATGTGAGGGCTTTTGCATTAAATTAAAATGAATGAGAAGCTCAAAAAAAAAAAAAGTTCCTGTGGTACTCCAACCACTAAATGGGGCATTTGTTACAAAGGATTAGATCAGACCTAGTCCAAGTAGAGTATCTCCAAACTTACAAAATGTGGTTGCTGGGTTCTCAAAACAGGGGTTTGATTTTTCTTCTACAATTCTTCTCCACTGTGCCAGTCACTAATACAGATGGAGTTTTAGAAGTCCTGGTGTGATTTCAAACCAGCATGACTTGTTTTGTTGCAGCACTAGTGGAAGCTATACCAGGAAAGCCCCCTACTTCTATTTAAAATGAGACTTCACAAAGATTTTGCAGGGCCTACCAGCTAAGCCTTAAAAAGTTCAATGCCTTTTCGGGAAAATCACAAGTCAAGTGATGGTATCGAATGTTGTTACTTCTGCTTGTGTACAAATTCTACCTTCTGCTTTACTGCTCAGGCTGTAGAGGCCAGGTAGACAGACTGAGGCAGCAGAGAGACAACAGAGTACCAGACACACTTTTGCTGATATCTGAATTGGGACCACACAGTTGGTCTGAATGAGCCCTTGAAGACTTTTCTTCCACTTGCTAGTCCAGTTCAGAAACACATAACTGGATGAATAACTAGAGCAATTTTAGGTGTGAAGTTTGAGTTCATCAGGGAAGTAACATTTGTCTATGTTTTCTCATTTGCCTTTTCAAATACCAGGTATATCTTTATTTATCTGCTCCAGCCAAAACACACTCAATTGAAAAGAATTTTCTCTACTTCAAGTGGAGGTGCAGGATTTGTCTCTAAAATGTTTTTAAAGAGGTCAAAACAAAGAATAATGCTTTGGGAAAATGCTACAAAGCGATAAATTCACACCATAACTGCTGGTTTAGATTTCTATGCAGAAGTATCTTTAAAAATTATTTTCCCAGATTCAGTGTTTGGTTGGTAACCAACCACTGCTACACGCACATGCCAACCATCACAACACTTCAGATATGCTGGCACAATCCAATATCCTTTCATCATTACTTCCTCCAAACCTTTGATAAACAGTACTCATTATGAGTCTAAAACACCATGAAGAAATAAGAGGAATTGGCAAAACTGACACTCCCAGGGTAAAATAACATCAACAGTAACGTTTAATTCAGGGTCATGCTGGGGGGTTGTACAAAGTTGCTATCCCAAAGCTGTGAAACCAGGGTTAGTTTTAATACAAAGAAACTACAAAGGAACATGAAGCCTCTATTCTAGTGGGTATTGTCATTCATGTTCATCTTTCTGAATAAGACAATCATTAGTAAATCTTGTGCTTGAAAGAGACCCACTGGAGTGTTACTGCACTTAGATTATTATTTGAGAGGCAGCCAGGCTTTTGATACCCCTGCTGAAATGCCCATGAACTGCCAGGGCTTCTCTTAGCTTCATATAATCTGTTCTTTCAAAGGAAGAAGAAAAGGCATTTTACTACTGACATAGGAAAATCACAGCTGTTCCAGGGAGTAAGGTTCCCTGAGCTATAAGCAGATAAATTTGTTTTTCTTTTGTAGTATACTGCAGCTATTTTCAAGCCATACTTTCCCAAGTCTGCAGAGATGCTTTATATTGAAACCAGAATAAATTATTTTGCTGAAGCCTACCTAAGTGAAGTGTTCAACAATTGCTAGGATATACTTGGCACAATAAAGAAGTATCAACAGCATTATCTTTACTAGAACTAAACACTTAGGTGTGTATTTTTTTCATTTCACTTAGTCAGCAAGATTCTCTCTTGCACGCCTTCCTCTCCAACTCTGTGATTTACACTAACAGAAATCTAGGTACAGAAAGAAGATGCAACACTTCAACCTACAGAATTGTTTTGACAGCTGATGTACTGCACTACCTCACTACTGAAAGATTAATTAAAATAAAACATTCAGAAACTAACATTCAGTTAGTGAATTTCTGTAGAAATTCTCTGTATCAGTCAATTTCCAAAGTTATTTCTTATGCATGCATGTAATTTTTCTATACTTCTAATGTAATTGTAATGTTGGGAAAAATTATCAGAGGGTAAGAGCAAGAGCTACTCACATTGCTATTCTAAAAGGTTTTGTTGTGGGGACTTTTAGGCAAATAGAATCTTTAAGCAAAGCAATAATTTTACAGGCAGTATGATATATTCCAGGATATTATCAGAATAAGAATACATAAGGTTACAAAAATTATAACCCTCACCCATATTTTATTTCCCAAGACATAACATTGCATTTAGTATGTTTCAAAAATCTACCTCTAGGCAAACTTGTTATTTCAACATATCCATGTGAAGTCAGGTCATGACACAGATTACCAAGGTGATATTCATCTGCTGTTGCAAAGGCTGTGCACTGCATCAGATTCTGTGCCAAAGGAATAGAGATTTGAGTTAGGGCAAAGCTGAAGCAAGATGGTAATAAGACAACTGTTTGCTTCAAATTTATTACGAGAGTGACAGTTTTAACTTATGCACTGTTCTGTGGTATCACTGCCATGATTTCCACCTGGTGTACATATACTAACAAGAGCACTTGCTCCTTGTTAAGTAGGAGCACAAATCACACACTGAGAACAAATCAGGTGGCATGAGTAAAGTCGCAAGAAAAAACTCTATGACAGAGCCACAAAGACAATCCTTCTTCCCTGAAAGCCAATCAAACACTTGAACAGTAGAGCTGCACTTGCTGCTGCCCTCCCATCCCACGGCTTATGACATACTTGGCTGACCACTGAGGCAGGACACCCCTGACAGAGCTGAAACACCGTGTTTTACAGATAAATGGAGTTTAACTACCCCAGTCTGTTTATCAAGCAGAAGCTCCAACCACAAACATCGTGTTCTGCCATGCACCAAGCTACTGCCAGGGCTGAGCCACTGCAGCACAGCAAGTCAGCGACCTTCCGGGCCAGCTGCGGGTGCTGCACATGTACAGCGTCCCTCCCCCGCCCTGAGCTGCATCCTGCACCGACAGCGGCTCTCCCCTGACAGTTCCACAGTGGAACAGTACACATGGGAAATTTGTCCCAATATCCCACCATCTTATACAACTAAAATGTCATAGTCAAAGAAGTACATGGAATGATGCTGACTTGCAAGGAGATGTGAGATTTTCTCGATTAATCAAACAAGTCACAAGAAACTGATTTTCAAATTCTACTACTCATCTGAAGTGTATTTCTTTGTTCTGATACGTTCTGTATGACCTACAAAATTGTTTTTCAGTACAATGCAGTGGAAAACATCCAGAAAGCAATGTTTCACTGTGGATCAGTCACTTCCCAGCTTTTTGTAACTAATACAAATGGGGATGTAACTAACAACAAATGAACAAAAGAACTGTGCTCATCTACAGGCATTTAGATCCACAATACACTTCAACCTAAAATCCAAGTTTTATTCTTGCAGCACTCCTACACTGTCAAAAAGCAAGGCTTCAAGAGGGGCTCTGCTCCCTGCGGGGGGCCTGTCACCAATCATTAGCATCACCACCTCACATTCGAACTTTTCTTTTTTAATGTCAACATTCTATCACATCCAAAGCTTTGCTTACACATCATCTTAATTCAGCAACCACTAGCAGAAAATAAGCTTTCAAAGTAATTATAATATTCAGAGAACAATTTTGTAGGCATATTCCCACAAGTGTGCTAGAAGGTTGAACTAACAGTGGAACAGAACTCTGCTTTCAGTTCCCTTGAAGTATCGAGTTTCATTATCACAATTTCAACTGCCTAAATCCATTCTCAATCGCTAAATCACCAGTGCCAATGATACATCTGAATCTCATGATTCTTCCAAAAAGCTCTGGCTATTGTAAGTACATATGCTCTGCCATGAAACTCTTCTGTCGAGAGTTAAGGGAGCAAATTCTCATCTTGTAGTTAGTATGCAATCTGAAAACCTCTCTTCTGCTCTGTGTTTCCCACAGTTTATTACTTGGGCTATTCTTCATTTCAAGGCACTACAGGATTGACTGTCTTACAGCTGCAATTTTAGTTTCAATAGCTACATTTCTCATTTAGTTACAACCACTAAGCTACATGCCTGAAATAGCATTTTGGATATGAACCACTTTAGGGTTTGGGGATTTTTTTTTTTTACAATTCATTGTTTCACTTACATATTTACAAAAATCTTGTTTGATACAGAAGATTCAGCTTAGGCATAATTTGTGATTAAGACACCTAAAATACCTGTTCATGGGTGCTGGTGGAGATATAGAAAAAAAAATCTACTCTAATCAATGACTCAATTAATCCTAAAATAGATGTGTTAAATGGCTGACCAACCTTAATGCCATGTTTTCTGCAACATCACTTTCACTTGCAAACTTCAAAAATCCCAGAATACAGCACCTGTACTGGTGCTAGAATGGAACTTGAGCTACTCATCCCCTTCTCCTTTCTGCCTGCAGCATTATTGAGATTCTTTTCAGAGCAGCACACAGGATGGTTGCTCCTAAGGACAGCTAAGCATGCTGACAACTCATTTTTTGTGTCACCGTGCCCCCAACAACTGCACAGGCTGATGGAATCATAACTCCCCTTAGTCCCTATCTTCCACTTTTAGCATACAAAAATTTTTAAGAAAGAAAACCCGTAGGATAAATTTTAGTCCTCACATCAGCACAGGAACCAATCTTTATCTAATACTATGTCTATACCTGAATTTCAAACTATTTCTATGCTAGATGGCTGTAGCATTAAGAGTTAGCTCAGAGGCTTTTCCTGCCATCAGATTTTACCAGGTTATCCAAGTAGTGGTACCACTCACTGATGGACTGACTAAACCACTTAACTGCCTCCAAGGAAATCCTCTATCTATCCTGAAAAACTGGTTGTACAATGATTTATCACTGCACTCTGCCTGTAAAAACACATGATGACCAGTGCTACGGAGGATGGGAAGGATCTCATTCACCCAGTGCTCTGCAAAAGAAAGGTGTCAGCTGTCAGGCCCTCCCAGAGGGAAAACACCACAGACCCTCAGGGTTCTTGAACTGAGAACCTCAGGAATGGGCCTGCAACTGCTGCCTCCAGAGGTGGGAAAAGATGGGAAGGAGATGCACCTAAGGCAACGGCCTTGGTGCTAGGGCCTGCTACACTAGAGGTCATTTCTTGCCCAGCATTTTGCCATGCAAAAGCCTCCCCAGGAAGTACATTACTATTTCAGTGCATCAGGCAGCATTTTCTCCATTTTTTCACAACGGAAAAAATTAAAAATAGCACTGCATGTTACTTGCACATATATATGAAAATGTCAAACAAAGAAACTCTTTGCATTCTACGCTGTCACTTGAAAGCCTCAAAAATGTTGTCACTTCACCCAAAACCAACAAGAATCAAACTCTGAATGTAATGTTATACCGTGACTAAACAGCTGGAAACATTACATAGTGTTTCAGGACTAATATTTTTCACTTTCCTCTTCCAAAGCAATATGAAAGTATTAGTGGGAACTAAATTGTTTATAACTACCTCTTTATGTTACACTATGGCATACACCTGCTTATCACACAAAATACTCATCATAGGCTTAGATATGAGAAGGCAAGCACTAAAACTTTGCTCACACTCAGTAGATCATGTAACAGATACATTCTGCAATGTGGAAACTATTTCTGAAGACACAGTGCTTGTTTTAGTCTCACCTATCACACTATTTTACTAAAACACCCTGGAACTCGGTTGTTTTATCCTGATGAGAACAGTAACACACCTGACACCATGGGAATCCTATATTCCAGTGTACTTACGGCCTGGCTTGCCTAAGAGCTGTCTTAAGGAGATATGGCTACAAATATGCACTGCTCTTCCTCATCGTACCTCACTGTACCTAAAACAGTGTGTTGTTGCATTTCCTCTGTAGGCCTCAGAGTCTGATAATCAAGGTGCTATATCTACACAAGGAATGATTTTTCTCAGGTAACACACACTACACTTGCACATTCATTTCCCATCTGAAACTTAATCTGAATATAAGTTTTATACTATTTACTTGCACTTTTATTTCTGTTTGAGTGAAACCTTAAAACTGGGTAGATCTGGACAACCAATGAATGTAGACAAAGTTAAATTATTCTGACAGCTAGACTTTGTTTCTCAATAGAAAATGTCATTTGAAAGCACAGGCCAAAACTATTTTTAATGCACTTCACTTTCCACTTTTTAATAACCACTCATCTTTCCTCCACTTTTGTTAACACATTGCAAGTAAACTTCCATTTTACCTTCAAAATACCACACATGCCAATTTCCATCAAGCTTGCTTCTATTTCCTAAGCTCCAACACTAGTGTAAATAATGAAGTCCTTCTCACCAAACAATTATGTTAATTTCATTAAAATGTTCATCAACCCCAAATCTGAATGGAAATTAAACTGATGCACTCCCTTCACGTCACATAGACTGTAAATGTTATACTTCACCTCCATGTCTGAGAGCGGCAGGTTCGTTCTGGATGGCTGCTTGGTCCTTGGTGCCTTTGGTGGCCTCTTAACTGGCTGGTTACTGGCTTTGGGGACAGTTTTACCAGCTGACACAACTGCATAAAATCTCGATGATGTGTTCCTAAGCTTTTTGATCCACTCTGTATTGAGCCTGTAGTTTTCCATCACTGTTGCCCCCAAACGTCTCCAGGATGAGAGAAAACCCTCCCCACTCTGATAATAAACATTTCTTTCCAAAGCAGACAGAATTCCTTGGAGAAAATGCTGATTCTTGACTTGCACTTGACTTGTCAACCAAGGGAATGCAGGTTTCAGTGCATACAAATCCCAAGACCTTGCCGTTCTGTGAGCTGCTCTTTCAACTTCATTATCCAGGTTTAATAGCAGATATCCAGTTTTGCTAAAGCTTTGGCACTGGCATATTGTTGTTAAAGCGTGGAAAGATCTCAGCTGACGGTGCAGAAGTTTCAGTCTCATTTCTTCCCTTTGAACTGTATTTAAAACAAACAAACAAACAAAATCACCCGTCAACATTTTGGAAAGAAACAGTATTATTTCCCTCTTATCCAAAAGGTGTTCCATATTACTCTTGCATGTGTAAGAACTCCTTAGCACACGACATTGGTGGGAATAAAAGCACTTTTTTGATCCTATGGAAACACTAAGATCAAAACACATCTGTGTGCTTGCAACAAGTGGTGAAAAAATAGAACTGGTTGCTGTGCCAATATGCAAGAGGGCATCTTTTCCTTTGGCTGCTCATTCTGTGCAGCAGCCTGCACTTTCAGTAACTCCACTGCTTGTGAGCAAGCAAGCACACACGCTAAAGAGGACACCAGACTCTGTGAATCACTGTGAAACATAATAAAAACAACAATTAGATTACTACATGGTTGTATGGGAATGTCACCTGCAGAACACACACGCTGCCCAGCCTCAGCTCCAGCTGCTGTGCCATGAACAGCCGAGCACAGATCCAGCCCCAGCCATCTGTCCTGACCACAGGACAGAGAATGGAGCCGACTCACAGCCTTGCTCCTGCCAGTACATCCCGGTGCTCCAGGGACCACCAGGCCTGCCAGCACAGCCACCCTGCAGCCTGAAACACAACAGCGTCCTTATGCTGCCAGCTCAGACTAAGAGCAACCCTTCTATATTTGCACTACATTGTGTGAGCTAACAAAACAAAAATATTCACAGGCTCAATACCACAGTGGATGTGTTTCATTTGCTGAAAAAACTCAGCGACAAGTCCCTACACTCATCTGGTTTCTTAATCAAGAACACTTCCCTTATAACACAAAATCCATCCTCAGCAAGTTATTAACAAAATGTCATTAAGCTGCCTAGTACAAAAACCTGCCCATTTTAGAATATTTTTCAAAAACTGAAGGTGGATCTTTAATACTAAAAATATATTTAACATAATAGTTCAAATAAATGTTTTGTTTTAAGAGCAAATCATAGTGTGTGCTGTGGAACAAGCCCTCCATCCTCACAAGGATACCTAGATGAACTGATATTGGGCTTAACTTTGTATCTTTACATGCTCTTCACTTATACATTTCTGCCCAATTTAGAAGCCTGTTATTGGCATACTTATTGGGATAAACTATTAGTTTCATTTTAAACTTGTTCCTTATTTAAAAAGCAACCCTGTCCAGGACAAGGCATATTTACGTTTTTAAAGGCTTGATACCTCCTGGATAAAGGAAAAGCAGAGAGAAACTCAGCAACTGCAAACCAAGTGGTGGAGAGCTGGGGCAAGGGGTAAAAAGTCTCCAACAGTGTGTGGTAAGTGGCAGAAAGGGATTTAAAATGGCTTTGTTGGCGTTCCTAGCCAACAAAACCTCATCGTGGATCAGTAATGCCAGGAACGATTTTTCAACTGTACAGGCTTACAGTAAGTTGCAAGGAAAGAGGGATCACATAGACTGAATTCCATCGACGGCCTGAGCGTCAGACCTGCGGCACCAGGGCAGAAGGAGCGGAACACAGCAATCCAACAAGAAAGCGGGACGAAGGGCGACCACACCAGGCCAGGAGGCGCCACCTCCGAGCAGCCGGCCGGCAGCTGGGATTTATTTTCCAGCGTCTCCTCAGCACACGGCACACTCTGGCCACGCCCGCCGCCCCCGCGGCCGGGAGGCCCGGCTTGCTGCGGCACCGCCACCGACATACACGGATAGGGCGGGCCCGCTCCGCCGCCGGGCGGACCGGACCGGACCGGCACAGACCAGCCCGCAAGCTCCGCCCGGCCTCCGCAGTGCGGATGCCTGCAGGCTGCCCCTGGGGCCCGCCAGCCCCGGACGCGGGGGGCGCTCCGCCCCGTCCCTGCCCCCGCTGCCGCCCCTGGCTCCAAGGAGAACAGCGCCCGCTCCGCCCCTGCGGCAAGCGCGGGGGCAGGGCGGCCGGGGCGCGAGGGCCCCGCTCCTATTGGCTGCGTGCCGGGGGGCGGGCACAGCGGGGAGCAAGCCGACCAATCGGAAGGCGAGGCCGCTCCGCCCGCGCGGCCCGCGCACGGCCCCTCCGCCGGTGCTGCGTCACCCCCGGGCAGCGGCACCTGAACACGGGGGGTGGCGGGGCGGCCGCCCGGCAGCCGCCCCGCTCCGGGGGCCACAGGGACCCCCTGGGGTGGGGGGAGACACGGGGGTGGGATCGCCCCTCACGCCCTCAGACGGGGCTCGCGCTCGCCCCGAAACTGCGCCCTCCTGGCGATTAACGGCGCGGGGCCCTCCCAGCCGCGGCAGGACCGGAGCTGGCGGGAAGGGCGGGCAAGGTCGTCTCGGCTCGCCCGCACCCTTCCCGCGGGCGCTGCCGCAGGCCCCGCCGCCCCGGGATTGTCCCAGGAGGGGCTGCGCCCCGCTCCCCTGCCGCAGTGCGGGCTGCGCCGCAGCTGCGGCCGGCGCGCGGGGCTGCCCTGCTCCCGGTGCCGCTGCTCGGCTCCGCCGCTCCAGCCCACCGGGTCGAAGTCTCGCACTAAAAATCGTCCTCAGGCAGTGCGCGCCCTCTGTGCGGCTGGCCGCCTTCTGCTCGTACATAAAACAGCGTTTGGAGAAAATGTGGATCAAGTGTATAATGGAGAGCGCGTTTCTTGTTGATGAGATGCGTGATAAAGTTTGAGCAGATGTCTCTGCTTTTGGTTTTACATTTCCTAGGTTTTGCGTCTGGGTATCTCAGCAATAGAGGTCGCGGTTTAGCCTAGAATTAACTGCTAGTTTTTTGCTGTTTTGTCAGGGCCAGTCATTTAGCTTTTTCTTCCACGAAAAGGCTGCTGTTTATAATCTGCAAAAGTAGGCGCAAGAACCTGACCGGTTTGGATTTTTTTTTCGTTTTGTTTTGGTTTTTTTTGCTGTCCACAGCTTTAAGGGCATGTCAGGCTACTTCTAATACTGTTACATATACTGTGTTATAACTGCAGCTGGCAGCAAAGCACCACATAGCTCAGCGGGGTGGGAGAAGTGAATGAGAAGGGTAGAAATGAGGAAACTTGTGCGTTGAGAGCAGTTTAATAATTGAAATGTGAATAAATCATAATGAAAAGAGCAAGGAGAAAGAGAACCCAAGAAAACCAAGTAAAGCAAATGAAAGCAATTGCTCACCATGAACTTCCTGATGTCTAGGCAGTGGCTCCCTGGTTGACTTTTCCTCCTGGTTTCCAGTGCTGGGCATGACACCATATGGTGTGGAATAGCCTCTGGGTCAGTTAGGGTCAGCTGTCCTGCCGTGTCCCCTCCCAACACCCTGTGCACCCTCAGCTTCCTCACTGGTGGGGTGGGGCGAGGCAGAAAAGGCCTTGGCTCTGTGCAAACCCTGCTCAGCAGTAAGGAAAACATCCCTGTGTTGTCAGCACTGTCTCCAGCACAAATCTAAAACACAGCCCCCATACCAGCTACTGTAAAGAAAATTAACTCTACCCCATCCCAAAGTAGCACAAAGACCTTGCATTTGTTTTTAAAAATTGAAGCCACTTCATCCTTTGCTGACAATAATAAAATACTGATCTCTTTTTTAGATCCTTTGCATATTTTACGATTAAAGACCGACTCCCCCAGATCCTCACAAGAGTTATTGATACTTTGCATCGACATAAAAATGAATTTTTTGAAGAACATGGTGAGGTAAGAGTAAGGTCCCTGTTTTCCCTGATGTTTATTCCCCTCTAGCCCTTGAGACCCTTTCTCTGCCTTCTTTTACTGATGAGTTTGTTTGTCTCAATCCTTTTGTCTGATTTTTGAAAAAATAATTTCTTTCTGGTAGCTATTTTGGATTAGTTCTGTAACACACCTTTCTGTCTAACCTTTTTCTTCTGATCTGTCACTCATGCATCTGCATCACTTACTGGGGTTTTTGTGTTGATGCAGTGTTTGATAGACAGTAACACCTTGTGAATATGATGGTGTTTCAACACTCTCTTCACCTCTAATTAGCAAAAAGTCCGATCTGAAAAGAAGTCCCATATGGAATTCATTTTAGGATCTTGGATCTGAACTGAGCTTTATTCACCACAGTGTATTTTGTTGAATCAAGCTGTGATTTGTCAGGGACTCTCATATAGCAATTAAAACTTTGCACATTCCATGAACGGTTGGTCTGTGTCTCTGCAGCAATAAAGGTACAGAGTAGGAATTTTGTTCTCCGCTTTTTCAGAAGGGTGTTGAAGCAGAGAAGAGAGCTATATCTTTCCTCTCCAAACTGCGGAATGAGCTGCAGACAGACAAGCCAGTGACCCCTTTGGAAGATGAGTTGCCTGATGCTGTGCTGTGGAACCAATACCTGGAATACCAACGAAATTTACCGAATGGAAATGGAGAACCAAGTTGGTTTCAGTCCCCTTGGCTGTACGTAGAGTGTTACATGTATCGAAGAATCCATGCAGCATTAGCACAGAAGTAAGTATTTACTGGCTTGGTATATTATTTTGTAAAACATTGCTCTTTCCCATTTTTATTTTGGGAAAAGGAAAGACAGCTGAGGAGTAAGATAAAGGAAAATCTTAAGCTTTTACGCTATTGCTTTTTTCTCAGCTTGCACATCAGATTTAAAATTAATACCTTTACTTCTTATATTTAGCAGAATTTGAAGCTTATTAATTTTTTATGCTTCGGTTTTGGTGAGTTGGTCTACATGTAACTCTTGAGCTTGACTGTATAGTTTGACCTTGCAGACTAATGTGAATTGAGATATGAAAACCATGTAGCATTTCTACAAGGTTTGTTGGCCTAGAATTTTCTCTTAAACCTTAAACACAGAATATGAGAGCCACAAATCCGTTGGGAATTCTAACTTGTTTTGCTGCTTGCAGTCTGAAGTTACCATTTGAGACCTGTTTCTTGCAGCAGTAGATCCATGTTAAGAGGCCCCTGCTGTTCACTCTACACCAGCTTCTTGGTTACAGCAGTGCCTGCAGACCATGTGTTGCATCGAATGTTGGGAGCTGATACTGGTTAAAAATAACTGGGCAGGAAAAACTTGTTGTGCTGGTACCATGGAGACATGCCAGTACATCGTCATGGGGTAGGAATGAACAGTTTAAGATCCCATTGCTGCCAAAAAAATTGGAAAGCTCCCCGAGTACTGGATTTACCCTTAGTGCTGTGGAGATGCAAACACAGTAATAGGACTCAGTTTCTACTGGTATGTTGTGTAATTTGAACTCTCGAACCAAATACTTCAAATATGAGGTTGATCTGCTGGATTGCACTTAAAAAGCTGAGCAGATACTTTTCATGTTTAAGTTTCTTGATCTCCATTATTTAGTTGCTCTTAAGCATATGCTTGGATGGAAGTTCAGTCATTTGTTGAAAGGTCATTGTGCAATATGTCTCATAATAGATTGGCCTATAATTTTTGTATTTTACAACATTCTCATTTGTCATGATAATTTTCCAAAATCCTAGTAAAGGCTTCTTGCAGTCTGAAGTTACCATTTGAGAGGTGTTTCTTGCAGCAGTAGATCCATGTTAAGCAGCCCCTGCTGTTCACTCTACACCAGCTTCTTCGTTACAGCAGTGCCTGCAGACCATGTGTTGCATCGAATGTTGGGAGCTGATACTGGTTAAAAATAACTGGGCAGGAAAAACTTGTTGTGCTGGTACCATGGAGACATGCCAGTACATCGTCATGGGGTAGGAATGAACAGTTTAAGATCCCATTGCTGCCAAAAAAATTGGAAAGCTCCCCGAGTACTGGATTTACCCTTAGTGCTGTGGAGATGCAAACACAGTAATAGGACTCAGTTTCTACTGGTATGTTGTGTAATTTGAACTCTCGAACCAAATACTTCAAATATGAGGTTGATCTGCTGGATTGCACTTAAAAAGCTGAGCAGATACTTTTCATGTTTAAGTTTCTTGATCTCCATTATTTAGTTGCTCTTAAGCATATGCTTGGATGGAAGTTCAGTCATTTGTTGAAAGGTCATTGTGCAATATGTCTCATAATAGATTGGCCTATAATGTTTGTATTTTACAACGTTCTCATTTGTCATGATAATTTTCCAAAATCCTAGTAAAGGCTTTCATAACTTCCTAACTGGAAGAGAATTTGGTATGGGAAGTAGACTCCAGCACACAGAAACACATTTAAAATCAGGTCAGCTTTTCTTGACTTTAGTTCACTTGTATGTTACAGCTTTAAATCTCTTGTCTGAAGGTTGGAGTTCAAAATGCTCACTGTCTGTGCAGCTCCCAGAGTTGTTGTGATTGAATACTTGTTCACTTTCAGAATATATTGCTATATAAAGATGCCTTCCATAGTGTCTTTTAGCAAAATGCAGTATTAGGCTGTTATGGAGATATGTGAAAATCTAGTATGACAAATTAGAAGTGGAAAATCTAATTAAGGCCTGTAGTGCAGTCTAAAGAAGCTGACCTTTGAGCTTCCTTTGCATGTGCTGTAATGAAGAATGTGGGAAGTATGTCAACATGTTTTTTTCTTCTCTTTTTAGCCCACCTATTGACAACTTTGATGTATTTAAGGAAGGAAAGGCTCAAAATTTCTTTGAATCCCAAGAAGCTGTTATTGCCTTATGCACTTACTTTCAGGAACTTCTTAAGAACATCAAGGATCTAGATGAAAAGCAACTTCAGGAGGAGCTTTTTAAGCTATTGCAGGTAAATTGTGCTTAACACAAGAACTGAAAATATCTCTCCTATGAAACAAACAAGAATTTGAGGCTATAAAGAATCTGAATTTCATATGAGAATTAAAACATAAATCTTTAGTTTGTAAAAGTTTGATGAAGTCCTGATAGCCCTACTCTATTGCTGCTCTTCTGAAAATATTTATATTTTGGGTACTTGTTTTAAATGTGACGCTTTTTTATTAGCTGCTGGTCTTCCTTGTGTATATGAAAACCCAGCAATTCTTCCTTCAAAACCAGTATCTCTTAAACATTGTAAGTCAAATTCCAGTGACCTTTTTGATATTTACCTATTGTTTCTTAAAACAGTTAATTTTAGTTGTCACTTTAAAAGATTTTAGACTTCTTTGGAGAGAAAGTAGAAGTCAGTCTGGGTCAGAAGTGGTTTAAAAGCTTTTTAACAGTATTATTCTTGGAATACAGTGCCTTTGGGTAGAAACCCCAAAGTATCATAGGGTTACAAATAAGTCCAATAGCTGGCAACAGTGTCCACCAAGTATTTGATGAATCTTCACAAAGGGCTCATTAGTGAGTACTTAAAATACATATATCTAAAATACTTATTTGGCTGCATGCAATAAACAAATACATCTGCTTTTTAAATTCCTTTATCTGTGTTACCACTGATATTTTTTAGAATTGCAGTATGGAGAATTTTCTGTTTTGAACTTTGTGGCCAATGTGTTTACGTTGATCTAAATCTTCCATCTTTGTCACTTCTGACGCTTGTGTTAATACAGAGCTTGGTTTCTTCCACAAAATCCTGTCTATGTTGAGATACCTGTACAAGAAGTTGAATTTACTTGTGTTAATACAGAGCTTTGTTTGGTTTCTTCCACAAAATCCTGTCTATGTTGAGATACCTGTACAAGAAGTTGAATTTTATTAAAGTTTGGAAGAATATGTGGAGTTAGAACCTTCATTACCTAAAACAGAAACAAGGGAACAAAATCTTCAGCGTATGTGAAGTTGAGAATGTAACTACAATGAGACATAGTAAATTTTTTTTTCTTGTTTTTCTTTTTCCTTCCAGGTGTCATTGTGGGGCAATAAGTGTGACCTTTCTTTTTCAGCTGGTGAAGACAGCTCTCAGAAATCTAGTCCTTTGCAATCCCTGGAAAACATGGTACCTTACATCTTAGTGAATGATATGGAAAAAGTTTGGTCACTACTAAATGCCAAAAAAAATAGAACAGAAAGAAGTAATGTTAGAGTTGACATAATCCTGGATAATGCTGGATTTGAACTTGTAAGTGATCTTGTGTTGGCTGATTTCTTGTTGTCGTCAAAGCTAGCTGATGAAGTCTATTTTCATGGAAAAAGTATTCCATGGTATGTATCTGATACCACAAAGCATGATTTTAACTGGACTATTAAACAACTGGGGTCAGCTAATCATATGTGGATGTCTAGATGTGGGATAAACTGGGAGGGCAATTTGAAAAAGGGAGTTTGGGTTTTCCGTGACCACATGTTTTGGACTTTACCACATGATTTTTCCAGTATGAGTGAAGTTGCTCCTGATTTGTATGCTGAGCTGCAGAAGTCAAACTTGCTTCTCTTCAAAGGTGATCTAAACTATAGAAAATTGACAGGAGATAGAAAATGGGAATACTGTGTCCCGTTTCATCAAGCCTTGAATAAGTTTCATCCTGCGCCTCTCTGTAGTTTGAGAACACTGAAATCTGACACTCAGGTTGGCCTGAAGCCCGGACAAGGTGAGCAAATTCAGGCTTCTGAACCTGAGTGGATGGTAAGTGGAAAATACGGGGTAGTTCAGTTTGATGCTGGTCTCTAGTTAAATGATTTGTAATATTCTGAAAGAGACATTAAGTCTGACTTTAATCTTTGTTCCATGCTTGGCTTCAGTAAAGATTCTTTTTTGTTTGTGCTTTTTCCTCCCAAGTGATTTGTTGTTTTTGTCCTGTGGAAGACTTTAATGTTGTGAAAATATTTATAAACTGTCTTCATATACATAAATCAATCTGCATTTCAATGCATTTTCTTTTCCTGTTGTCCAATGTCAGCAGATCTTTAAGATGAATATTTGGTTGTCCATAATATTTTTTTCATCAGTGAGTATGAGTTTAATGAGTGAAAGCTTTACTAGTGAAAAATTTGCTTCAGAAACAATTTCCCCAGTGCCACATTAGCATGAATTTACTTATTTTGGAATAATTTGTGCTCCATGTCATTTCATGCATTGCATGAAAGTTAGTATTTTACAGAGTTCAGAAGTTAATTACAGACAGATTCTTTTGACGTTTTGAGGATAGTTTGCGTTACATTAAGGGATAAGTTATTGTGTAGCAGCTTGTAAACATTCATGTAGAATTGAAATTTGAATTTCAATTTTAAAGCACAAGTGAATGTTGCTAGCCAGATTGCCTGTGAGAGAGTTGTCCCATCTGGTAGGAAGATTAGTTGGAGAAAGGACAATCTCATTCTAAGAATATTGAAGATACTGTTTATTTACAAAGCTCTACCAAAAAAGAAGCACACAGAAAAGCCTCTCCAAACAAAAAGTTAATGAAACCCAAGCAGTTGCATTAACTGGACTTCAGATTTAATGCAGACTTGATCTGAAGGTGGCCTGTCAGCAGTGTATGTATGAGGTTCAAGCACTGCTGCTTCCTTCTGTTGTGGTAATTCTCCTTATTTTTCAAATGTATTTGTTTGGGGGTTTTTGTTTGGTTGGTTGTTTTTTAAGAAGAATGCCTTAATTTTTAGGGAGGATATACAACCTCATTTGCACTGAGAAGTACAGGGTAGAGAAGCATATGCCATACTGGTTCCTGTTAACTGGAGTTGTTAGGTGCCCATTTCTACTCTTCTATCCTGGTCTCAAAAGCTGCTGCTCGTTATGTTCATGCAACAAAGATCTATACAGTGGATAAATATGTTCCAAATGCTGATGACTTGGATTATTTGTGTTTATTTTCTTCTTAAATATGAAAGGGTATTTTAAGGTTCCAGGGTGAAGTATTCAAAAACAAAGATGCAAGGAATTTCATGAGGCAGTTGTAGGGAGAGTTATAGTTTTGAGACCTGGGTTTACTGGTCTTATCTCCTTTGTATCTTTGGCTTAGTACTCCTACAGGGTGAATTAATCCTCATCCTTAGGCACCTGATTGAACTGTAGAAATTAAAAATCTAGTCAAGAAGGCTGAAGGCCACAGTGCTGAAGGTTTCTGGCTAGAGAGAGCTCAACAGCACTCCAGCTTTAGTGCTTTGATCAAATATGTAAATGACAGGATGAATCTGTGCACTGGGGCCTCAGTGTCTCATCTTTCAAAGTGCCGTTAACTTGTTTGAAGTGCATTTTGAAGCAACAACTTTGAGTCAAGAACAGAGACCTAGAAGTTGTGGAATATGTGGAATGAGAATATCGTACCTTGCTCAGAGAGCAGCTGGGGGCAGAATTGGCTTTGCTGTGCTCAGATTGTTTTTAAGGTGTTGACTTAATTTGCTCGAGGTTTAAAAGAATATAATGAACAAGAAGAGAAAGTCGCTGTTGAGGCCACCCTTGACATATAGATCTGCCTCTTACACCCTCCTTACACATGCTGAGAAACTTGATTTAGTGTTTTACTGTTTGCTACTGTGTCCCTGTGCCCAGGTTGCTTTCAGGCTCTTACTTCTGAAAATTCACAATGCAGATTGGGGAAAATTAGTAGTATGAAGTTATGATAAATACAGTCCTACAAAATCTAAAATTAATTAGGAGAGGCAGCGGCGTTTGCTCAGTATTACTGAATTATGAAGATTACTACAAGACATGTAATTTGTAGCTTAGCGTGATGTCATGCTGAAAAAAAAATCTCTCTATTCTCCTGTTGATTAAAAGTGCACTTTCCTTCTTTTGCCCCTCACAAAGAGAAGTTTGTGGTAGCACAGTGTGACTGTGTGGCTGTGTAAGGAATGCACAGCCATAACTTCCAAAAGCTTGACTTCTATAGCTGTAATTGCAAAGGGCTATCTCTAGGCAGAACTGAACATTCAGCATCCTTTTATGTGTGTTGGTTGGCTGTATTTTTGTAAAATTTTGATTGATTGTATGGAAAAAAGAAAAAAAATAACATCAGTGTTGCTGTAGTGCAGTGTTACAATCTCCCATGATACAACAAAGTTGTGAAGGAATATTCCAATGAGGCACAGTGCTCTGCTGGTGGGTTTGCTACGGTTTACTAACAACCATGTTGCTGTAGTGCAGTATTACAATCTCCCATGATACAACAAAGTTGTGAAGGAATATTCCAATGAGGCACAGTGCTCTGCTGGTGGGTTTGCTACGGTTTACTTAAAAATAGGAAACTCTTTTGTAGTTATTCAGTGTTGTAATACAGCTTCATGAAATGCCAACATGAACTTATTGCATTTAGGTGGAATTTGAAAACATAATCTGAAGCATGTGTTAGAACACTAGCATTTGCTGTAGTATAACATTTTTTTTACTTGCCTATTTAAGAAAGTTCCTTCTAAACCTCTGTGTCACAACTGATTTCCCAAAACGCAAAATATAACTCAGGAGCTACTGATTTGTACATCCAAATTTTTGAGATTTTCATTTCATATGCCATTTGATTATTTATGACAAAAACCAAAGGTGTTTTCAGTAATTCTGGGGACCACAACAAAAAAGCATTTTTTTACTTTTTATTTCTGTCTTCTAACTTTTGAACAACTGTATTTGTAAGTCAATTTTTGATAATGACTTTGATTGTTGAGGAAATAGAAGGAAAGTAATGTCACAGGCACAGTGAAAGGCAGTACACACATCTGTCTGAATACTTGATAAGTTATCCTGTAAGATAGCTACAATAATTTCTTGTGTATATAAGGTTTCTTAAAATAAATTGTTTGATGTGGAAAATAAGTTGATTGTATGAGTAGAAACTTGTAAGAATATTGAAATAAATGATATAATTTTGTGCAAGTCAGACATTGTTATACTATTTCAGTGACTGGGAAAGCCAACTTAAAATAATTCAGGTCTTAGTTCCTGAATTTTTTTCCTTTGAAATGGATTTTATGCGTAAACCTGTAAAGCATATTTATTCAATGAGGTTTTGAAAGATACAGATGCAAGAGATAGGTATCATAAAATGTTCTTCTGTAACAAGACAGGGCAATAATAAGGAATTTTCTAATTTTTACACTACCTGTACTCCTGTTAAAATTTTAAAACCTTAAAAATCATTGAGTATCTCTAAAATGTATCTGGTACTTACTTACTAAGCTTGGTGCAGCTGATGATGTTGTTTCCAGTATCACTTCTAGAACTGATAGGTGCTTCATGTGTTCTCAGCAAAAATGAAAATATTTTGGTGTTACTCTTACTGTATCTAAAATATTTCCAAAACACTTTGGTTTACACACCTTGCTGATGTCCCATAAACCCTAACTGTTGTTGTTGAAACAGGTCTGTAAAGTTCATAGTGTTATTTGCATTCATGGTTACAACTTGTTCCATGTGAACATTTATCTCCTGTGCTGTCAAACAGCAAAGGAAAAAGGTTTACTCTGTTGCATGAAAATTATTCTATGAAATGGTTTAATCTAAAAAGAAACCCTTAATTGTGTCTAAAATAAAAATTCCAAAATGGAATCTTGTACAGAACTGTTGGGTTTTTTTTCAGTAAAGTTTGTTTGCTTACCAGCTTTATGTTTATCCAAAATTACAGAACAAAAGCTTGTAATTATTTTTATTTAAGGCAAAATGTAAGTTGAAGTTCACCTAACACTTATCTAGGGATTTTAAAATAAAACTGAGAATGTGCTGGTTAAAGTGGTCCTTTTCTTTCTTTTTCATGTGCTACTGGCAGAACACATGTGAGGAAAAACATCCTATAACATGGACTGTTTGTTTTCTTGTTTGCTTCTGTATATTTTTTTCCCCTAAAAAAGGTTTTGAAAACTTCTGTACATTTTTATTCTTGCTGATATACTTCTATTTTTAACAGCCTGCAAATAAAAAGTCCATTTACATGTATTTTTACGTGAATTAAGAATTAGTTTATGGATTGTTCCACATTCTACCTCAGCTTTGCAGTTGTGAATTCTGCAGACATGTGAGAAGGGATTTTATTTACAGTGCTTTTTTGAGGTTTAGCTCAACTGGCTTTGTTTCCACTGTGAAAGAAATATAAAATGTCCACTTATGATAACTTAGAGTGAATAAACATATTCAGTACTTGTGTGCTGCTCCTGTTGTATCACTTTTCAGTAAGTGACATAATCATAATCTTTAAAACTCCTTGTGAAGAAAAATTTTCATCCTTGTAGAAATTTATTTTTCCTGGGATTCTGCTGGCTTCTTCCAAATCTAATGAAGTAACAGATTAAAAGCTGAGGTAAGATACATCAAGATATATACTATGGGCTTTTTAATTTGCTTTGTTAATGTTAACTAATTGATGGATCTCACACTACCATGGTAAGGCTGATGCCTTCCAAGTGGCTCTGATGAAGGGCCTGATGATGCATTTCATGCAGTTGCATTTGGAATAGGTTTTATCTCTTACCTCCCACTTCCCAAAAAAATGCCATTAATTGTCATAGGTCAGGAAGTGCGCTGTGTTCAGGTCCTAGATGGTTTGTATACACACATAATTGTTAATTTTAGTCTAGGATCTGTGTGGAAGGCAGAACCATTCAGGAAAAAGGGTTAGGGTGCAGGAGTGCTCCCTCAAGCTAGCTGAAGGGCTTTTCCACCTGCTTTTCCTTCTGTCCAGTGACTCTTGTGTTATCTGCATAGTGGTCCTATTTCCACTCCAGGAGTATGTGTGTCCCTGGGCTAAGGTTAGGGAATTAGGGGACAGGTAAATTCTTCCAGACTGAGAGGGCCTACACCTTGCAGTGAGGGTTTGAGTATCTTGATATGAACAAAGAGCATCCCCATTTGTCCATGGCTTGTTGTAGTCTTGTTTTGAGGTAATCCTGTTAGAGTTAGAGCTACACTTGAGTGCTTTGGTCATGTATTGGATACACAGCTTTGGCTGCATCCATGATGTTAGATTGGGCCTTGGAAGTTGTGCTGCTGCTTTGCTGGATTGTGAGGGAAACGTTAGCAGGAACTACTTGCTTGGGGCAAATCAGGGAGTTTTCATACTTATGTGGAAACCTGAGATCCACATACAGAGGATTTGCAAAATAGCTGCATAGGTTGAGTTTAGACTTTTCTGGTTTAAGTTCCTCAAACTGAAAACAACTTAATACATCAGCACCTGCAGCTTTCCCTTACACAGATTCCCAAGCCTGAGTCGTTCCCCCTTATGCTTATTGCATTTTCACCCCCCACTTTGTCCAGAGTTGTAAAACCAGGTTCTTTTCCTCAGAAGATTGCTGATCCCACCACATGTGCTTATCACAGGGACGTAATCGTGACTTTTGGCTTTGAAATTATTTTTACACATCCATTCTCATTTAGACACCTGCAGAATATCAGCTGGTACATTTTTGAATGTACTGGGTTCTGGAATTGGGTTTTCATAAAACTGATCAATTTTAGCATCTTTTCTCAACACTGAGCATTTTCATGGAAGGGAAAGTTTGTACTAATTTTTAAATTATTTTTTCTTTCAAAAATTGGTGTGGCTTTATTAGGTCCTTACATTCAAGAGATTTGCATCATTATTTGCTCAGAAAGGCTGAGAACATCCTTTCTATGTATTTTATGAAACACAACATGAAGAACTTGATTAATGAAAATGACTCTTTGAAATTATTTAGAATTAAAAATCCCAAATTAACCCTTCCTAAATTATTTCCTGCCCCTGTTAAGGAAAAAGAAACATTAAATTCTTTTGGGAAGTCTGCTTTTAAATATTAGCAAACAAGGATAAAGCATTTTAAAGTTTGAGCATTTTGTAATAAGGTAGTTTTTTCTCAGTCAAATGGCTTGAAGAGTGGGTATTGCACCTGTTGACATTTCTACTTTTCTCCATCCTTTTTTTTTTGGTCTCTTTTTTTGTTAGTCTTGTTACAGTTCACCAGAATAAAGTGTGTTTTTTAAGGGCAAATAACTTCATAGATCTGCGCTGAGATACAGCTGCATAAGCACTCCTTCCCCGTCACCAAGGGTGTAGAAGCAGCTAAAATGTAACGCCAGCCGTGGCACTGCAGGACTAGAGATGGGGAAGTGTGCTCAAGCACATGCTCAGGAAAGTTAGGACAAAGTTTCACAAGCATTTACTGCTGCATCTGCATGCCACTCCAGCAGCAGGATGGATTAGGCTGTAGTCAAATGCTGGACAAATCCAAGATGATATTTTTGTTCAAATTTGCAGTAGATAGGAAAACATGTGCCAGATTTCCTCTGGGTTTATGTAAGACTGCCCAGTACAAATTTAACCCATCAAAAATACTTAATAGATTGGGATTGCAGAATGAGGCTACCCTGGAGCAGCATGATCCACGTCTGCAAAATCCCCCCTCTGCTTGGGGGTTTCTGTGTCCTCGGCAGCAGCAGTGAAACGGTAGCAGGTACAGAGGGGCAAGGACAGGAAAAATTAGTACTATCCCTACCTTCTTCATTTTCTTGTCTGGGAAATGTGATTAAGTCAGCATTCCTGAGAAAGGTAAAGTACTTTTTTTGAATTTTGAGTACAGAAATGATGCTCGATGGCACTGTCCCCAGAGGATGATTAAAGCTCACAGGGTCTTCAGAGAAAATAATGTGCAGCTCCCATGCACCCACAGGTCTAACTTTCTTTTACTGCAATCCTCAGTTCCTCTCTTCCGTGTTTATCCACTTTATTTGGATGAAAGGTGAGGAGGAAGAGGAGGAGGTGCTCTTTCGGCTGGAGGCACTTCAGCAGCCATCAAGGAAGGCTGCTTTTGCGGGGGTGCTGCCTTGGCAGGTTCTGCGGGGAGAGGGAAACCCTGTCTGGGTAACAGGAGCAGCTGCTCAGGTGCCATCTGCTCCCCTCGCCTCTTCTGATTTTTATTTTTTTTGAGGGAAAACGTGAGCAAATACTCTCAGGTTAATGTTTATTTGAAGTGAGAACGACAGACAAACAGAAACGACAAACCCCGGCTTTTCTGTGAGCTTCCCCTTGTGAAGACTGCTCACTTGCAGTCCCTGAGCCCTCTCCCGGCTCCCCCGGCCAGGGCCGCCCTCCGTCCTTCCCCCGGGACGCGTTGCCAGGGACACGGCTGTGCCCGGGAGCGGCTCCGGGGCTGGCGGGGCAGCGGCGCGGCGGAACCGCGGTAACCGGGGATCGGGCCGAGGGGCTGGTTTGGTTAGGGCTTGGGGTTTTTTGGCAGTTCCCCTATTAGGTAATAAAGCCCGGACTTTGGAAATATGCCCCTCTCCTACCCGCCTTTCTGTTGCTATTGCTGCAGCGGCTGACACGGGCTGGCTGTAACCCCCCTTTGCGAGTCATCTTTGCAATATTAAATTTTATCTCGCCTTTAAACATTCCTCCCCACCCCCAAAAAAAAAACAAAGCAAAAAATCCCCAAAAAAACACCAAACAGACAAACCAAAACCCAACCAACCAAAACCCCCAAACAAACAGAAAACCCCAACCCCAAAGCAGAGCTCCTGCAGGTGCAGAGCTGTGCCCGGTGGTCCGTGCGTGGTGCGATTGAAGCCCCGTGAACTCCAGCTGATCATTACAGCTTATCTTTACAAGTTCAAGGCCAGAAAGGTTTTTGTTACTAAGTGCTGCAGAAGGGAGTAGCTTTCACGGAGCAGGAATTTATAGTTATCTAAGAATTTCTTCTTTGCATCTCTTGCTCCTTTGAAAGGGGTTTGCTGGCTTTGATGTGAATTTGAGGGAGACACTAGAGGATATTGCTTAGAAAGATCAAACCCTTGTACTAAAGATGTAACAGGAACCTTGTAACAGTTTTGCATTCCAAAGGATGAACAATTTATTTGTGTGAGCAGTTCATTTAGTTGAACATCAATTTTGTAATGAAGCTATATTGTTCTGAGACCAAAAAATACAGAATTTTGGTAGTTTGTGGTGGCAAAAACAACTGCCATTATATAAATATGACAGTTATGACTCAATTACAAACTTTTTGCTAGCACTATTTAGTGGCTGAGTTGACAGCAATCTGCTCCACATCTTAACCAACCAGAAGTCAAATAATTTGTGAGTGTTGATTTTGGGACTAAAAAACACGCTAGAATAAAATGTAAGTTACAACTGCTAAATAAAACTACAGCACTAACCAGTTTTTAATTTGGTATATGCCAATATACTGAAGTATTTCTAAAATATTTTCATTTTGTTGGCTACAGTAAAGTATAGTAGGCGTTATAGGAAAATTGCAGCTGTTGGCAGTGCTTGATGGTCTGTTTTTTAAATCTACCATTTAAGTAGTTCTGTTACAGAAGTTATTTAATTCTAGCACTGATAAAGTAAAAACAGTAGAATGAATTGTTTGCGCAAATCCCTGCATAAGCACTTAATCTTGTCTTAGCAATTACCCTTTTCATTGTTTAGGGAATAAACACAGCAGCTCCTTGTTAATCATTTTGGAAAAGCAATGAGAGAAAACGTCTGGAGAGTTCCAAATTCCTTAATTTGTCCATACAGACAAAGGATGAAGTCAACCAGAAAACATGTTAAGTAATGTTTAGAGTAGGTGATGTATCTCTCTAATTGCCTTCAGATGACTGTTGTCTTTCATCACATTAAATACATTTATTATATTTAGATGCAAAGTCACCTCTTCTTAAGAGAAAAACAGAAGATGAAAATGCTTTAACTGCTTATTGTAGTAGTAGTAGCAGGTAAGTGTAAAATTTTGCTTGTAATGAAGATTTCATTTGGGCCCATTAATCAAGCTCAAAATTTGCCTCTTTGAGGCCAATGAACAGCAGGAGCGATTTTTATCTTTTCAGTAATACCTTTCCATGATTACTGCAAAGGGAGGAGGGTAGATCTGAGCAGTGTCCTTCTGAAAGGAATTTAGAAAATCTCTTTGGTAATTTATTTGAGCTGCTGAGAACACTTAAGTTAGTTTTACATGTTTCTGGAATATTACACTAATGCAGAAAAACTCCGTAGGTATATAACAATAACAAAAAAAAGTACTGCAAGCAGTGAGTTGGCCTAGTTACAAGAAGGAATCAGCAAGGGAAAATAGGACTTTACTGAGTGGATAGTGAGTATTTGGGTGTTTTTGGCACTTTGTAATATGCAAGAGCGAGTGACAGAACTGAGTTGTGAAATATTACTCGCAAATTTTGATTTATGTTAATATATAATTATCAATACATTTTGAGATCCCTGATAGGCAAATTGGGCAAAGTGTTGTCTATAAAGAAGATCCAAAATATACATATATAATATAATGTACAAGATGGTTAATTTGTGAACCAGTTTTTTCCCACCTCCTCAAGTCACTCTGGCCTATTCCAGCTGACCAGCGACAGGACAAGAGGACACAGTCTTTAGCTCTGCCAGAGGAGGTTTTAGGTTGGGCATTAAGAGGAATTCCTTTGCAGAAAGGATGGTTAGACATTGGGATGGACTGCTCAAGGAGGTGGTGGAGTCACTGTCCCTGGAGGTGTTTAAGGAAAGACTGTGCTTGACACTCAGTGCCATGATCTGCTTGACACGGTGGTGTTTGGTCACAGGTCGGACTTGATGTTCTCAGAAGTCCTTTCCAACCTCATGGGTTATGTGCGATTCATTTTAGTCTGTTTTTTGTATGTGTTAACAGAATCTGAGTCACTGTAGATAGTGCCTGAAACTTCTCATGCTCATTGCAGTGTGTAGCTGTTGTGCTTTTCTGAGGTGATGTGCATGCTGGCTGCTGCTACCAAGAAAAATCTGCAGCAGCCAAGTGTGAAAATGTTTCAACACCCATTTTTTCAGGTGTTTCATGATGGATGTCATCTTTCTGGTAGCAACAATTAATAATAATAATAATCAACTCCACTGCTGCATTGTATTTTCAGAAGTTAGAACAATTTTATGCACATATACACATAAATATTCATTGTCTTAAGAAAAAACATTGCAACATTGCAGATTTGGGTTATGTCATTTTGTTTGATTTCAGAATATGAAAAGTTCTATATAAATATGTAGGTAAAAAGGGCTCACTGATTACCTTAACATCTGAGGGGGGAAAAAAGATGTATTTCAGTTAAGATAGAGCCTGTGTTATTGCTCAGATCCTTTTAAAACATATCAGTATAGAAGAGATGCAGGACAAAAGGAGAAGTGAAGTAAAAACTTGGAGCAAGTGAAAAGCAGTGGCAAAGGAAGCAGTCACTGCATGAAGGCTGCCTGTGTAGCTGAACTGGTGAATATTCCCTGGACAAACCAATGTGAAGGTGTCTGTTTTAGTTAGATGTGTGTTTGAGTACTGTGGAGACAATCAGAGCTCATAAGCTACTACAGAAACTTTCCCATGGTGTTCTTCTTTCATGCCCAACTTTGCTGATGGTAACCTATGAGACAGTTTAGCAAAGCATACCAGTGAAAAAATAATGTAATGTGCCTTCATATTACAAATCTATTTCATTTTCAACCTTTTCCCCCCTCTTTCTCCCATTTGTTCTGTAGAAACAAAGGAAGAATGAAGTCAACAAAGGTTCGTGAGTCATCATTTTTGGTATGTCAACCCCAATGTGTTCAGGTGCTTTGGGAATGGGAAGAAGAAATCCCTGCCCTGAGCTCAGTCTATGGCAGGGCATTGACAAGTCACTCAGGGTGGTGATGGGTGTTTAAATGCCTGCTGGGAGCTCTGTGTTTCAGAAAAGATTTTTTAAAATTATATGTTGTGGGAAATGGGTCTGGGCTGTGTGCAGGCAATGGCAGTGGTAGTGGAATTTGACAGCATTGAAAGGAGAAATACAGCAGGAAATAAAAGAGAAGCTGCCAAAAGCAGAATGGGAGTGAGTGGCTTTAACAGTTGGCTGATTTCAAAGTACATGGATAGACATAAAAGTCATGAAAGTTGTTGTATCTGAATCAAATGAAGTTTTCCAACTAAAGGCTGGGAGATAAAAGCATTTATTTGGTAAAACAGTCAAAACAAAAATGGTCAACAATTACAAAAATCACCTTATATTGTTGATCTTCTAAAGAACACCTATTACTAATAAATCTGAAGGTCCAAGTAGACATTGCTCTTAAGTAATGTAAATATAGGCTTTGCTTTTGTTTAGCATATGAAGCTAGATGAAAACTTCATTTTCTTGCAGGTAAGTGGAAAGAGATCAAAAAGATTAATAATGTGAGTAGGAGAAACACCCAAAACTTAGATTATTTAGAGCTGATTGAGTATTAATGTGTTAATCTCTCTAATTCTTTTAACACTTCATTAATTCTGTTTTCCTAACAAAAATCAGTATAGATTATATAATACTTATAAAACATTAGAAATTGATTTTTTCCATGGATAGAAAAGTGCCACATCTGCATTGCAAATATTACCCCTATAGGAAAGTCATGCCAATTTAATTGAGTTGTCTGATACGTCTGACTTGTGATTGGCTGATGGGAACTCACAGAAACATAGAAAACTATTAATTTTAGAGCATGCATGTTTCCTGCTAAAAGTATAATGATAATACCAACTTTCCTAGTGTGGTGCCACCATGATTCGTTTTATATTTACCAAGGCACTGGAGGATGCAGAGATCTGCGTCTGTAAATCTCACTAAAACTGTATGAGCTGAACAGTAATTCCCATTGACTTTGGCACCTGGCTGCATTTAAACTTCTTTTAAATACTTCTGGATGTGTAGCTGCATCTTTAAAGTGTTCCTAATTTAAAAATCAAAACATACAAATCTAATTTGTATGAAAAATATAGATTTTGGAAGTTTCGGGTCTAAAGCTGTTGCGTTGATTAGTGCTGCTGAATAGGGGCATCTTTTCTTCAGCTATGCTCTGAAATGTATTTATTTCACCAGTTTTGAGACGTACTCCTTCTTTCCATGAAGTCATAAGCTGTGCATGCAGTACTACAAATGTAATAACGTACATAACCATCATACCCTGTACTCCTTCTTTCCGTGAAGTCATAAGCTGTGGTTTTTTTGGGAAGAAAAGGAAAAACCTACATTCATGCAGTACTACAAATGTAATAACGTACATAACCATCATACCCAGTGTTACTGTTTCCAGTCTCCATCCATAGTTTTGCAGCCCTGGTGTATTACAGAATGAGAAAAATGCCCTCTACATTAAAGAATTTCATGTGGTTGTACATGTGAAACAAGCAGCGTGAAGCAAAAGTAAGACAAAAGCAGTGAGGAGATGGCACATGCTTTCCCTTACTCCCTCAGAACAGTGATAAAGTGTTGAGAAAATTAGCAGCCCTTTTATCTCCCAGATAATGTGCTGTGTTCTATGTGGCCATGAGTTTTCTGCATGTGTCAGTCTGGCTTGATGAGAGTGGCAACTCCTTTGTGGAAGAGCACAGCTGAGTGTCTTTGAAGGAGATGAATGCAATTAAACTTGATGGGTCTAATCTAGTGTCAACTAGCACAGGGAGGAAAGATTAAAGAATAGAGCTGGGGATATTATAGCAACTAATCCAAGGTGATTTATCTTCTGCTGCAGTCTAAACTAGTAGTTTTTCCTTATTCCTCAAGGATTTCTCTCTGTGTTGCATGGTAAATGCTTATTTTACTAGATGTTCACATATTTGTAAAGTTCTTCAGGGTTTTTTTTTCCTATATGGAATGGGTAGGGGCTGAACTTGTAATTTATCTCAGCCTAGAAATTGATGTTGATGTAGTAAACATGAAGAGAAGATGTCTTTGTCTCCATTGCAATACCTTTTTCCAAAAGCAGTCATTATCTGGGGGTGTTTTGCATTTTGTAATTCATAACCAAATGTACCAGGATTGTAGTTTTGGTTTAGTCCTGTGTGAAAGCTGATGGAGAACAAATCTCATGTTCAATTCTCTGCCATGTGTGCTTCCATCATAGCCTAAACTTAGTTCTGTTCTGAAGAGGTTACATTTCATCGGTTTTAGTTACTATTGATTGAAAAAAGGAAAAAAGTTCTGTCTAATGAAACTCTACCAAGACTTCAGGTCTGAATTTTCATCTTGAAAGACTTAAGTAACAAAGGCCAAGAAATCCACCACATTCCTGCTCTACTGCAGAAGAGCAGAACATCACAAAAAGGAGAAAGCCTACTATAGAATCTAAAGGGCACAGCTAAAAGAACAAGTGGTGTGAAAGAGACTGTAATGGAAAGACAGAGGCAGTGCTTGCCATGGAATCAGGACTTGAAAAAGAATGAAAGGTAGTCGTTATGGTGATGGCTGGGGATGAGAAAGCATCAGTCAGGAAGCTGAAGTAATGTCCAAGTGATGGAGTTCAAAAGGACCTCTAACCTTGAAAGGTTAGAAGTAAAAAAGCGAATGGCAAGACAAAAAGTGACTTGGAGGAGCAGATACAAGTGTCTGAGTAGGCATGGGCTCTTCAGCCTGGTAGAGAGACTGTGGATGGGAGATATGATAGAAATCTGAAAAATCATGAGTGGCACAGAGAAGATGGATAGCCATTGCTTTTTTTCAGCATATCTTCTGAACGAGAAATGAGGGCATGTGCTGTAGAACTGAAGTCTAATAACCAAAGTGATTCTTTGCATAAGAGACCCCTGAGGAATCCCTTTGCATTAAAGTTTATACAGGTTGAAACAGTGACTGGATAAGTTTGTAGAAAAAGGGCCTTTTGGATGTTGCTAAATATATAGAAACTGCTGGAAATAGCCAGAGCTGCAAACAGTGGGAGGGGATTGTTGAGGTTGTTGATCTTCCTTTAGTGCTGGTGTTGGTGGCTGAACTTGGAGATGAAGGTGGTGACTCGTAGAAAAGTGGCTCTTTAATGTATTTTTCAGTAAGTGTGTTACTCTGGGAATAATATTCTGCAACATTTGGAGTAATGCCCTGGAGCAGCTTAATCAAACAAAAAAGGACTGAAGCAAAAATCTTCCAAAAATGGGATGTCTAAAGGTTTTGTGTTCATTCTGTCTTCACAGAAATCTCATGATCACGTTCTTTTGGATATTCCCGTCACTAGAGAGCAGATGAATCACTATCGAGCTGCAGCTGAAACTGCTCAAAGTGAACTTGCAGCACTTTCAGTGAAGTATGACTGTGCCCAATCAGAGGTACATCTAGAAATAATTTCAAATCTTTCTCCAAACCTGAAGATATTTTGCAGTCTCCTTATGTAGAGAATAGAAAGCTTGCAGAAAGTCCAAAACTTGCCTTTCCTACAGAAGTTTTGGGTTTTTGCTTTTAGAATGTCTGTGTGATTTATACTTTGTTTCCTTCTGTGAACTGATCATAAGTTTGTATTTGGAAGATTTGAAACAGTGTAGCTTTTTATTGTAATCTATGTGCAATATGTTAAACCTGAAAATTAATAAAATTATGGTTGTATAAATGTTCAGATAGCCCCCTTCCTGCTGGAGAATTAAGATCTATCTGCTCGTCTTTACTCATGTGTCCCTTTTATTCAAGTTATAGCTCCCCAAACGTGCTCTGCTTTTGTCACCAGTGAAATTGTGTTTGTGCTAATGAGCTTGATTGTAGCTAGAGAGACTGAAGAACATGTACACACACTTTTTAATTTGATCAGTTGATCCTGAAGTTACTGCAGGGTTCCCCTACTTTTAACATTTATCCAGAACTGGTGCCTTAAATTTAAATTTTAAGAAGCCATACAGAATATAATGTTCTCATACAAAGAATTTATTACTGGAAATGTTGAATGGCTTTATTGCCAGAACTTCTGACTGATTTATAGATTTTTCAAGACAGTGCTTGCAAAAGCATAGTCAAAAAAGCAGCTGTTCATGCTCTTGTTAATAAAGACCTTCATGACCCAGCTGAGGTCAGAGCCTTGTTCTGCTGAGTGCTCTGCTTTCATCACCAGTGAAATTGTGTTTGTGCTAATGAGCTTGATTGTAGCTAGAGAGACTGAAGAACATGTACACACACTTTTTAATTTGATCAGTTGATCCTGAAGTTACTGCAGGGTTCCCCTACATTTACCATTTATCCAGAACTGGATTAATTTAAATTTTAAGAAGCCATACAGAATATAATGTTCTCATACAAAGAATTTATTACTGGAAATGTTGAATGGCTTTATTGCCAGAACTTCTGACTGATTTATAGATTTTTCAAGACAGTGCTTGCAAAAGCATAGTCAAAAAAGCAGCTGTTCATGCTCTTGTTAATAAAGACCTTCATGACCCAGCTGAGGTCAGAGCCTTGTTCTGCTGAGTGCTCTGTAAAACTCATGATATGGGATTATTCTTGCTTTTTCTGCTATTGGAACTGACCACAAAGACAATGGACAGATGAAAAAATATCACATGGGGAGTTGAACCACAGAGAAATTTTAAGGTTATGAACACTCTAAGATACCATAGCTTGGTCCAGCTGCCAAGCAAAGCAGTGCTATTGTTCCTTCAGCTGCTCATTTCCTTCCCCACACTGCCCCACCCCTTGTGCCTGCACAGATGTATGTGTAGTTTTTACAGTGCGCTGTTGTGTCCATGCAATTGAAAAATAATTCCTTTCCTTCTGAGTTGCTTTTTAGCCAGATCAGTTTCCCAATCTTGTTTTACCTTGTAGCCATACAAGTGCTTTTCCTAGCACTGAGAGGAGGGTGGAGTATGGAAATGAAGCCCATGGACCTGGGAAAAAGCCAAGCTGCTTTTCTCAAACTCAGTGCTGCTCCAGAGTATCTGATAAAGCTGCACTTGCACGTGAAACACAAGCTTATTGAAGGCTGTGCTGCTGCTACAAGGGTGATCCTCCTACCTGATTCCTCAGCGTTAGCCTTTGCTCTGTGATTCTCTTTCTCCTCTGCAAGAGGAGTGAACTGTTTTCTATGGGTTGTTATTGAAGTTGTTTGTAGAGGAGTCAGACAAACACAGGGCGGGTGTGAGGGAGAGGACAGGCGTGCGTGGCTGGAAAGAGGAGAAGCAGGACCTCCCTTTTCCAAGGCAGTTGCTATTCTGTTGCCTCACCAGCCTCTCAAATTTCTCTGAGTATCTTGGGTCACACTGAAAGACTCCAGCAGAGAAGTGAATTTCCCATTGTTCTGGATTTCAGCTTAATGTCCTAAATTTTTTTTCCCCTTAAAAAGTTTGCCACAGTTTGGAAGTTTGGTCATTCACCATAAAGAACAGTTAACTTGGCTAAATTATTTGTCTGGTAATTTTATGTGATAGGACAGAAGTCCTTCAGATTGCATCTTGGTGCTGTTAGTTGGAATTGTCAGGAAAACTGAAATATGCCTTAACACTTCTTGTGACAAAAAGTCCACTTTAAATTACTTGTTCCTAATAAGAAAAAAAATCATGTGGAAATTTTGCTCACCTGGTGAGTCTCCCTCATGTGAAGTTTCCTAGAGAAACTTCTAACAGGAATAGTTCAATGGAAAATGGTATTTTTAACAAAAAGATAGAGGAAAATCTACTATACTCCATGAGCTCTTGGAAAGCTCTAACATCATCCTTGTAAGAGGTCTTTAACATTTAAAGGTGATTTTCCTCCTCCTACCCTTCCTTTAAAGGCTCTGTTGCTGTTTCTGTGTAAATACAACTTTAATTGGATTATCATACTCAAAAATAACTATTTGCATAAGATGAGAAGAGGGTGCCTACCACACAATGCTCCAAAACTTTACCTGCTTCTGAATATGCCTCAAGCCATCAAGTCTCCACATTCATACAGCAGGATACTTTGCTGTTACAACTCCCTGCAGCTCTAGATTATCTGTGGAATTGAGCACCAGATTTGGAAGCACCCAGGCAGCAGGCAAAAAAGAGGGAATAGCGGTGTTGATAACTTTGCTGTACTGCAGATACATAGGAGACATGAGTTGAGGTTGTGCAGCAGAACTTAAGTTAGACTTTTCCTAAATTCTGAATTAGTAAATAAACTTATCTTCCTGTAAGATGTTGTCTTGAAAAGTTGTATTGTGTTACCAACAGTAGCTTTTGTTTTTGCAAACCTCTTCAATTTCTTTTTCCTAGTCATATGAAAGTAAATTCGTGTTCCTCTACTCAGTCCTGTAGTGATAGAAATGTGTTTCTTTTCACATTACTAAGTTTGTAATACAGTCATGTTATTTCAGGCTGGGAAAACCATTCTTCATTAATTGTCTCCTTTTCTATCTATAGCTTCTTAAACTCAGGTCGAGCATGATCTCTAAAGAAGCTTCTTTTCAAGAGCTGAAGGCTGAAGCTGAAAGCTATAAGGAAAACGAGGCTAGACTGACGTCCCGCCTCCTGTCTTTGCAAACACGAATCCAGGAGATGGAGGAAGAGCTGTGCGTGCTCGCCGCTTCTAAAACCCAGGCTGAGCTGGCAGCGCAGGTGGCATGCAAGGAAAATTTGGAGCTGAAGGAGGAGCTTCATGAGAAAAGTGCAGAACTTAAGTAAGAGTCATGTGAGATAAGAAACTGCTTTTTTTGGGTGGGATGAGACAATGGTACATTTGTCAATATAGAGAAGTAAGTAGGTGGATAGACTTTATTGCAGCTCTGAATTCTGTTACAGTGCCTGAGTGTGTGGAAGGTGTTGAAATTTGAATTTAGTTTTGAGTTGGTAGTCAATACTTAGAGGTTTGAAGGTTTTGTACTTTGAAGGTGAAATGCATTGAACTTATAAAATATAGTATCCTTTAACTGTACTGTTCTTAGCATAGTGTATCAGAGCACTGATATGTCAGTTCTACATAATTGCTCATGTTTCGTGTCTGTAGGATGGAGACTCGTAGCAAAATTGATTGGTATGAAAAGATTCCGAGCTCTTAAATTCCAAAATCAGTCAGTCCCATTAGTAGACACCTGGAATTTTAAAACAGATTTTTCTGCCCATTATCAGACTAATATCTGTGACTCTATCAATACTGTCTAGAGAAGGAGTGAATGTTTACCAGAGCAAGGTGAGTGTTTACCAGACACCTGTCTTTCCCAAATGAGTGTTTGGCACATCTCTGCCAGGTTTTATGCATTAAAAGTGATTAATTAAGTAATTTTAAAACTTAGAGAAAACCATTACAGTGCACTTGTTTATTAGCAGCTGATTTGCCAAAAGCCCTGCCTGGAGAGTGCAGTTTTACATAATGGCTGTTAAGATTCTTTAGAATGCTGTTTCTGGTAGGGGAAAAAAAAAAAGAAGAAGAAGAAAAGGGAAGAAAAACCTCCTATCCCATTTTCTTGCCTAACTCACATGGGAGAAAACTTCTGGAATACTGTGTGTCATACTTGCCTGCAATTATAGTGATACAATCAATTTTATGGGAATAAATCTCTGCTGTCACTCCCAGAGCAGTCCTGGCTGCTCTCTTTGGCATACAATACTTGTGTAATCAGTTCTGTTTGTGCTGATGTGTGGTGGTCAGGACCAGGGGATTGCTCCAAGAGAGAAGTGAGCAAAAAAAAAAGCTTGATTTCCACCTCTACCAATCCCAGCTCTGGTTCACTGTGCACCTGGAGTGTGCCACTGGGTTTCTGGCAAAAGGGAGGAGATACAGGGATAGTGGCTCTGCTAATTTGGAAGGAACAAACATGTCGGGTTGCTCATGAACATGCAGTGTTTGCTTCCAAAGCTTTTTGTTGTCCTCAGCTAATGTTTACATGTGTCATTTCACACTAACCAATGTGTAAACTCAGTGAACTTCAGTCACTTATTCTGGCCACCCTGGTAGTGCCTGGCACATGACTGGTCCTAATTAGGTGTTCAAAAAAGATTTTCACTTAAAACCACTAATGAGAGGGAAGAGCAAGCCAGCATGCATGAAGCGCACATTTGCATTCTATATCTTGCAGATACAGTAAGAAACGTTTGGTGAATTCTCTGATTGGCTCCCAGGATGTGCACCTCTCCTATCGAAAATGGTGCTTTTCTACTCAACATGTCGATTGCCATGGTATTTTTAGAGTGTGAACTGTCAAAAGCTTTTTTCTTCTTCTTTTTCCTTCCCTTCTCTTTGCTCATTAGTTCTGAAGAGCTAGCAAAACTGTGAAAAAGCTGTGTTCTACTTTTTTGTACCTGATTGCCTATTTTCTATGTGCTCACACCTCTATGGCCCTACTGCAAGTAATTAGATTATTCGTAAAGTTATCAAATGAGTGCTTTGTACTTCAGATTTTTTATTTTTAGCAGCAGGCATGGTTTTGTTAGTGGATACCTCAGGTTTTTAGAGCCATAGAACAGTTGTGGGTGGTCAATCTTATATAATATTCTGACATATAGGCATGCTTTTATGGCATGTCTGAGCTTAATACCTTTTCACCTCTGATATATCCCTCCTCACAACAACAGTGCAGCAATCATCTCATGGTTTAGTTTTGCTGGGGCTGCGGAGGAAAGGAAGGTGCCCAGAGGTGAGGAAGCTGTGAGGGTTCTTGTGCTCTGAGGGACAGTGTCTGCTGCAGAAGGCAGAGCCCTTTTGGCTCACGGTGTGTGCTGTGCAGCACTGTGTGGAACTGCCCTCACTGTGTCCAGAGCAGCAATAGATGTTTTCCATTCCTCTCTGTTATTCTGTCACTCTCTTTCACTTTGCAGCATTTTCAGTAGCTGTGCTGCTCTCCCTCCTAAGGTTATGTGTTAAATCTTTTCATGGACTGTTTTGCTTACTGATTTATAATCATTCAACATACTGTGTTTGCATCTCCCATTGGAGTCTCTTTGGTTATGGAATGATGCTCTGTTTGATTAACAGCTGGGAGAGGAAGAAATCAGACATAGAAAAGAATGAGTCCAGCAATGACTGCTGGACACACCTTAAAAACTGAGAATAGGGTTATGCTCTGATAAGCAAATGAGTTTCAATAAAATATTTGCTCTAGACACTCATTTGGTTACATCTCAGGTCTTGATTTATTCTAGAGTGAAGAACTTGCTTTAGAAAGAACCTTATTTTTCAAATGAAAGCTTGTCTTGCAAATTTACCACTACCAACCTACCAGGTCTTGCACTCTTCCACTACGGACCTCACTCGTGGGTGTAACTGAGAGGTGCTGGAGTTGGCATTTGGATTACACTGGTGGTTGTTTTGAGCTCTGGTTGGTTGGCTGGTTTTGCTAACCTGTTTGTTTGTAGTTTTTCATAAGTGATGTGTGTTTCAGCACCATGAGCAAGATCTTTTTCTGTGTTTCCTACCAAATCAGACTGTGGTGGTTCTTGTTTGCTGGACCCATCTTTGTTCCTGGCAAGGGGAAGAAAATAACCACATTTGTATTAAACTCACTGTTAATTTATTTGGTTGGTTGTTCTTGTAGAGTCTTTACAAACTGACATCTGCTCTTAAGGCTGAGCAGGTTTAATGTGGGATATGCATCTGCGTGATAAGCACCTGTTGAGTGAAATTGAAGACAAAATTGTGATGAAATTCCTGGCAAAAAGCTCCCTTTTCTTAATATCTTTGTGGTAGCCCCTAGATGCTGTCTTTTTAAATGCATCCCTTTCATGAGTAGTGTTTCAGAGCACTGCACAGCAAAGTAGTGTCTCCCATCTCTGCTTCTGCTGGTGGACTTCCCTTCATGGGTACTCTGGATGCCTTACACTTCCATTGGTCCAGAAAGGCTTCTCTTTACTTGAAGTTTGTTGATCATCTCTGTCAGCTTCTTTACAGAGAGAGAATGTGAAGTGCTTTTCTCATGTTTTTGCTAAGAGTTGATCACCTTCTCCCCCCACTTACTTTTTCTAAGGTTTGCTTGCATTTTCTCCTTGTAGTATCTTGAGGGCACTATTTATTCATGACACTTAGTTTTTGTGTTTTATTAGAATTTATGCTGAGAATGAGATTGGGATCACAGAAAGTTTTTTTGTGTTAATCAAAAGCAATGATGAAGAAATGTTTACACATAAGGCAACAGCAAAAGTTATATGCATTACATAACAGATATAGAGAATTAAATGTAACTTTTAAAATTCATTTGATGGTATGCAGAAACTAGCAATGGTCTTGCAGCAATGCATTTTGCCTAGAGTTCTTTCTCAGGGAGCATTCATCCTGATGTGTATATTTTTCTCTGTCTGATTAGTAAATATTTGAATGAGTATGAAGAAAACATGACTCAAGCTTCTAAAATCAGCAAAAACTATGAAGAGCTCCTTACACATCTTTCTGGATTCTTGGACATAGACATCAGAGAAAAAGAGAAACCACAAGAACATTTAACATCAAAGGTGATTGTGTAGGCAAATGTTTCTCTACAGTGATTTAACAGAAAAATATTTAGTTGTCACAGAAGTAAAGCAAATAATAGAGATCTTTGTATTTAATTATGGTTTGCAGACAGTGCTATCATTTAAAGACAGATTTTTTTTCCTACTGGGCTAATTTTCAAAGGTGCTGAAGACTAATATGCCTCAGTGAACTCAGTCTGATCTTATCTGCATAAATAATTTATCAGCCTGCAGTTCCCATATACAGTCCTGATTAGAGACTTGGTTAAAAGCTTTCCTTAAAACATTAATGTGGGGGTCAACAGGTGATGTGTAAACTGTAGCACTAGATCTTATCTCTTATTTTGAGCTGACATACCATTAAATACAAACATCTGAAATGGCATGCCCTAAAACAACCTTTTCTGTGTCCTGTAATGAAATGCTGTAAATAACTTTGTGGTGTTTCTGAAACTTAAAAATTTATAATTTCTCTTCAGAATACTTCTGAAGTTCCAAAACCTAAGTTTCCATTTAGGAAAAGAAAGTTGTTTGTATATTCTTTTAACAACTATCAATGCTGCTGAAAGTAATTTTATTCTAATTTTATTAATTTGACTCATCTTCTGTCCACTCTTTGATCTCTATTTTTCTTCACTTTGGAGCACAATAGATATTTGGGGAAATTCTATTTCATTATGTTCATGTCATTGTAAGATTACAGTCTTAATAAATCAAGATTATCTAGGTATGTATCACAGTGAGTGTACGCCCTCATAATATTACATAATATTGCAAGCACATTGTAATTTTAATCGATGCTCTAAAAAAAGTTGTCATGCAAGATGCACTCTTGCATGCTTTAATAATTAATAAGTTAATACCTAGAGCTTTAAAAAACATATTTTCATGTGTTTTAACAAAGTAGTAATAAATCTAGTTGGGAAATCTAATTTGTGCTGAAAGCTTTGCCTTAGGAAACCATAGCAACTAGTTTTTCTGGGGTCTTGGCACATCTATTTAGTTTCTTTTCCACATTATGGTTTTATTTAAGACAGAATTGATCTGTTTTAGTCCTAACAAATGTCTTGCCAGCAGGAATCAGGGTACATTTTTTGCTCACTCTTTGAAGTGCCCACATTCATCTATTGCACTGATTGGAAATAGCATAGTGTACCAAAACAACCCTAGAATCCTCCTGGAAAGGACTCCTTTTTCCAAGGTGTTGGCTGCTCATAACGGCAGCACACCAGGTATTTGGCCCTGTCCTTGAATGTGCTTATAAACATAAATATCTGTTTATAGCTCAAACCTCTGGTGCTTACACAGATTTGAGCATGAATTGCAGCTTTCTTGTTCCAAATGAAAGGCTCACATCTTAAAAAGCCAGGCTGGAATGGTTTGCTTTTCACATGAAGGAGCTGCATGGTCTGCCTTCTAACCTGCCTCATGTCAAGCACAGATATGCAGCAGCAGAAGCTCTCCACCTGTTCAATACATCATAAAGCCTGTGTGGGAGCAGATCTGAATCACATTTAGCTAAGGTGGGGATTTATAGTGAGACTATAATTCTATGATTTTAACTCTCTTTCTACTCTTTTTCTAAAGAAGCAGTGGAGTGCAATTATAAGTCTGACCTAGGGGTCACCAGAAACATTGAGTTTTTATTGGCTTGATTAGGAGAAGGTATAACTGGGATGAATATTTTTAATTTTTAAGAGCTTTCAAGAAGCTACTAATATTTGATTTATTTCTCAAGGTCTCTAACATATGTAAAGAAAATGTGACATTAAAAGACCAGGTTGTTGCTCTTCAAGAAGCTGTGAATGGCCATGAGATGGACTCTAAAGCTAACAGAGAAACTATCATGAGACTAGTTTCAGAAGTGGCCAAGGAGCAGAAAAAGGCAGCAGGATACTACCAAGACATGGAAAAACTTAGTAAGGTACATAATTGCATGGTGTGTATGCTTATCTGGTTTTCAAATGTTTTCTTGAAATTTCAAATTAATTTTCAATAGGAATTGCATGAGAAAACATTATGTTGGTTAGGGTCTTTCCTAAAAATGACATTTTTCTAAGGTTATTTTCAACTTTTTGAAAGTAAGATATGAAGATTAAACAATAACATTTTGTAAAATGCATCTGAGGTAGAGTTGATGGCTTTCAATGCTGTTTGCAAATGTCTGTTTTTGCTTTCTTTGTAGGGTTGTAACCTTTGTGCTTGCACAAACATGTAAATAAATGAATGTGTATATTGTTAATATCTGAGGCACAAGTATGAAGTGGTGAAAAAATGCTTTTTAAAACAATATTTATTTGACACTGCCAGTTTTATGAGAATTTTTAGACTCAGTTTTACAAAAATTCTAATGAAAAATTGAAAGGAATTGATTGGACACTATTCTTTCTCTTAAAGCACTGGCAGGTTAAGTGTTTTGGCTTCCATACACACTAGATTATCTTTTCACTGCCTTATAAATCTGTATTTCATAACCATTGACTCATAGCCCAAAAGTTGTAGCAATAGGATGGCTCTTGCAGGAAAGCAAGAAGTTTCCCTGTTGGGAAGCCTTAGAGGAAATCTGTGCAGCAGGAAGCATGGTCAGATGAGAAATGTAAGTTAAGTTGTAAGTCAAGCATTCCAAATCCACTTAGCTATGATTTGTGAAGGAAAAGGATGTGATTTAAGGATTGAATTGCTCCAGGAGAACTCGCCATTAAGAGTTCATCTATTTCAAAAGATGGATGAACAAAGTGCATTTCTGTAGCAATTTTCCATATTGCTTTGCCCTTTGGGTGGTGTCTGTGGAAAGGAAGCAGTTTAGTGAAGCCAGTATGAAGTTCTTCTGCAGGTGAAACAGTGCAGTTAAAGCTGATGGCCAGAACGTGAGAAAATAAGAGAAGAAACTTAGACTGCCAAATACGTAGCTGAGTTGTGTGTGATTGAGTTTGTAGGAATTTTTAACATAAAGACAATCTGGTACAAGTGAGTTTTCCGAAGTAATACAGCATTTTCCCCACCCCTGACATTCCTCTTTTCCTGAAGAAGAGACACCCACCATACACTTTGAAGGATATAGTGTTCTGATTTGGTTGTAAGCAAAATACTTAGGAGATGAGAAATAGCTGGCAGCCTGCTCTGGAAAAGAAAGAATTTGTGGGGAAGATAAATGTAAGTACCACAAGGGTAATAAATTTTTTTTTACTGCCGAAAATAGTTCTTACCAAGCTGTGTACAATTTTCTAAGACTCAATAGAACTGGGAGAGAGCCTGCATCAAAAATTTAAACAGGTCCTTTTTGAGAACATTTTGTTTTCATGCTTCACTTCAAACACAGGTGTGTGAGGAAGAACAGTGTAGTTTTCTCAGTAAGCCAGAATTAGGAGATGTTTTAAACCAAGATCAGGGCTCCATTTGTGGCTTGTTTTTCAAGTTTGCTCCAACTGCCAAAACATTTACCAAGTTGAGCTATTTTCTGAAAAATATTTTCCTATCGTTATTTTACATGTGCCAAATACATAATTTATTTAACCAATTTTGCAGAAATATCTGTTATTAGTATTGCCTTTCAAAAGCATTGCCTTTGAAAAGCCCCATCTGCACAGAGGCTGCAGATTCCTCCAGTGCAATTTCAGTTTAGCAACTCACATTTGCAGCCGCTGAGTAAATCTGTTGAGAAGGTTTTGTGTTCACAAAAGCATACAAAGAAGTTCAGTGTTGAAAAAGAAAGCAAAAGCAAAAAGTGCTTTAAGTCCTCACGTATTTAGTGTGGGATCCTCTGTTGCCTTGGTGGGTGTCTGGCTTGGTTACAGGAGGGGCACCAGTGGCACAAGTCAGTCTGACTTCACCATGTACCTCATGCTGCACAGTTTAAGCACATGGAAGGAGCTGCATGTGTTGTGACATGTTCCCCTGTCAAGGTGAGAAGCAGGAATCCATACTGCTCCTGTGCCAGAGGACTCATACTTGGCTGTGTGTTTCTGGGCTGTTTCCTGGACTTAATTAATGGAACTGCCTGTAGCTGAATTCACCCAGCAAAGGCTGAGTACAAGTGACTCTGCCTGCGTGTGCCAGCAGCTCTCAGGGCCAAACATTTTGGCCATCTTCAGTACTACAGATGGAGATGGCAGCCCATTTCCCCCAGTTTTCTCTTAAAATTCTCCCTAAGTGTATAGAGACCATCACACTGTTCTGTCAAGATTTGGCAACCACACTGTTCTCTGCCACCCTTCTGAATAATTGCCTGTTTTAGTTGCCAGGTAGTTCTCCACTCCCATTCCTTAGGAATTTTATGAATTCCTTCTCTTGATCAGGTTCTTTTTTTTTTTAATGTCCTAGGAGGCAGTATTCAAAAATTCTTACTAAATAAAATGAAAGCCAGTTAATTACATTTTAAGGTTAATATATGTAAAATATTCTTTGGCTTGTTTAATAATTGAATATTTGTTGCAGTTAGCTGGACTCTATTTGAGGAATATTAACAAGTGAAAAATCATTTTACCTGTTCCCCTCTCAGTCTCACTGCATGACAATATCAAGCAGCAAAGAATAAAAGTCAGTAATTCCTGAAACTAATAAAAGTAAAAAAAAGCAATTCAAGAAGCTGGTTTTTTTCCCCCCTAATCTGTTCTTTTTATTTATTTCTGAATATATTATTCTATTTATTTCTGGATTTATCATGTTTCTGATAGAATATTGCAAGATTTTGCTTTTAGAAATCTGTAAATATTGTGCATACCTTTATTATGGCTGCATTGGATATCAAATTTGCATTTGATGAAAAACAACTTTAAAATCCTGCCCAGATTTCTAGACTGAGAATCAGAATACCTGAACTTTCTTTCCCTATTTCCAGAGAGTGATTACTGATTATGATAATCATACTTAGAGAATTATAACATTCTTTGAGAGTGTCTATAGGTCCTCTAAAATGTCTTATTTACCCTAAGAAAGTTTCTTTTTAATATTTAATAAATTCCTCTATGGTATTTATCTAAGATATAGAAGAGGATGTATATATTCTTCCATATTAATTTAAATACAGCATTGCCACAGATGAACCACAAGAACTAGTTAACTGTTTTGTTCTGTTTCACATCTTTGCTGATGGTTCAACCTGGAAATATTTGTGATTTCCCTCTGAAGTGTTATTTTAAACATTTGTTTTGCAAAGATGTATACTGTACAAATCTTTAAAGAACATACTTGAAATGTAATCAAGCAATTTTAATTAATACAAATACCTCTGCATTTACTACTGATGCAAAATTAACCAAGAAAATACTCTTCAGTATTCAATATTGGCTTATATTGTTATGTTAATGAACAAAATAGATCTAAGTGGTTTCTAATCAATATAAACATATTAAAATAAATCAATTTTATGAAAAGAGTTCATTAAAATATGAAAACCTTATTTAAGAAATTTCACTGAACTTGAGAAACATGGCTACATTTTGAATATACCCAAATACTTAGATTGTAGGAGAGACAGCCAAATGATTTTAGGTTTTTCTTGTCCCCACAGATAAAAACAAGAATGAGTTTCTCAGAACCTGGATTTTTTTTTTTGTTTTGTTTATAAGATGTTAACAAAATACATATTAGAGACAGGTTTCAGCAGGCATCACAGATATTTCCAGATTGAATCATTTGAGAAGACAGGAGATAAGAGCAAAGTAGTTTACAATCCTTATGGTATAACAGTAGTAACTGGAGGTGCAGCCAGTGTAAGAATTGATCTGGATAATACCTGCATTCTTTTAATACCTTATTATTACTTTTAATGTAATGTGGGCTCTTTTTTGTATATGTAGTTGAATTTAGTCTATTGAGAGCATGCTGCTGATTGGGGTGTCAGTATTAGTAGAATCATGGATTGGAAAAGACCTGTAAGTTCATGGAGTCCAACTGTTAACCCAGCACTGCCAAACCCACCACTAAACCATGTCCCTAAGTATCCTGTCTGCATGTCTTTCAGATGCCTCCAGGGGTGGTGATTCCACCAATCTCTGGGTAGCCTGTTCAGTGCTTCATAGCCCTTTTGATGAAGAATATTTTCCTAATATCCATTCTAAACCTCCCCTGCCATAATTCAAGGCCATTTCCTATGTTTTTTAAATGGGAGAAGAAATCGACCCCCACCTGTCTCCAGCCTCCTTTCAGGCAGTTGTAGGGAGTGATAAGGTCTCCCTTGATCCTCCTCCAGTTTAAACAGCCCCAGCTCCTCCAGATCCTCCTCATCACACTTGTGCTCCAGACCCTTCACCAGCTCCATTGCCCTTCTCTGGCAACCAGAGCACCTCAATATCCTTCCTGTAGTGAGGGGCCCAAAACAAACCACAGGACTCAAGGTGTGGCCTCACCAGTCCTGAGTACAGGGGAACAATCCCTGCCCTGCTCCTGCTGGCCACACCATTGCTGATCCAGGCTGGGATGCCATCGGCCTTCTTGGGCACAGCTGGCTCATGTTCAGCTGCTGCTGACCAGCACCCCCAGGTCCTTTTCTGCCAGGCAGTTTCCCAGCCACACTTTGGTGGCTTGTGCTTCTTTATTTTAGACCTTGATATTTTTAATAAACGATGTTTGTTTTCAGATGTTCACAATTTAACAAGATGGTGATTAGGTGAGCTCCCTGGTACTGGCAAGCCATTTTAGCACTGCCTTTCTGAAAGGAAAAATACACACTGCTGAAAACTGTAATTGAAATAAATGACTCTTTATTCTTTGCTGTAATTACTATAATGTAGTTCTGAGCACAGGTGGGAATTTTCTATTAATAGGACTTGTCTAGAATAAAAAAGAGAAATTGGCAAGGAATCAGGCCAACATTTGTTTCTAAAACAATTCTAAAATTACTTCAGAAATGTGTAACAACAAATAATTTCCTAAATGACAGGGGTTGTTTTTATTTATGTTTTTGCATGTTTGCCTTTTCACTGCTGTTAAAAATTTTAGTATTTTTAGTACCATATTTTTATATTTTATTTTCTGAAAGTGCCTTGCAAACTCCTTTGTTTTGGCCACCCTCCCTGCAGATCTACAGAAATGCTCCCAGATTTAACTGCTTGATTGGCAGGCATTCCATTAATACAAATGACATGCTGTGCTCCACTGCAAGCACACACAGACCCTGAGAGACCCTTGAGTAATCACCATATTCATAACTGCTCTAGGAACAGTTCTCTACCTCCAGTGTGCACAGTCTTAGCTCATATCAGTCCACTTACTTACCACTGAGACCTCCGGAAGAATACAATCCCTCTCTGTAAATATTCTGTCCTCTGTAGTAATTTTGTATCATGTGTGGAATAATATTCTTTCCCATTTGTTCTTCCCAAACAGAAAATGCCCTGCGAAATGAAGACCTAGTCTTTGCTGTACTTTTAGTTGGTCTTGCTGCACATATTTTTCTTGTATGTGTAAACACTCTTAATATTGGTATTGTGGGGAAAGGAGAGACACAAATAGCCCTTTATGTTTAGAGGGCTATTTTTCTTTATTTTTTCTGTCATTATTTGTTTTGGTGTCATGGGTCAGGATGCCCAATTCTCTCTGTCTGCTCTGACCTGTTAGGTCAATATTTATATACAGCTGATACAGATACATACGTCTTGGCTATGTTTTATTCTTTCCCCACCAAGCCTTGATTTGCCTGGTCCCACCCTTCTCATTTCTGTGAATAAATAATCTCAGGAATTTTTGTTGCATAAACTTTTGTCAGATAAACTGATCTCAGAGATCACCTCTTTTCACCATATTCAGTGAGTTTGTGTCTGTGGTTTTGGTCAGCTTTGAATTTTCAGGCAGTTGATCATCACTGCAGGTCCCTTCCAACTGAGATATTCTATCCTACCCTTTCCCCTCTCGGCTGTAGTACTTTGGCTTTATTTGTGATCTTTTTCACTGCTTTTCACTGTGATGCATCTTTTTCAGACTATATTGTCTAGATGGAAAAGTAAGATTTCAATAGTTTTACAATAAAAAAAATTGATTTCATTCATCTGAAAATTTTATTTATGTATTCCTCTTTGCAAACCAATGTAAGAGGTTAGGCTTTAGTGTGATTACAGCAGACTTAAGGTCTTCATCAATTTCAGTGGCAGTTCACCTGTGAGACCCTGATGCCAAGCAAATATGAGGAATATGGGTCCTAGTTTCTCTGTCTGCAGTACCTGCTCCTGAGTTATTCCTTAATTTGTGTGTGGAGAGAGTTTATAACTGATTTTAAAAACCTTGTTTAATTTTTCATGCACTTTAGGATCTTGACAGTGCTATAATAAAGAGGCAGAGTTTAGAGATGGAGATCAGAAACCTCCAAGAGAGCCTGGCTGTTAACCAGAGAGCTTTGGACACCTCAAAGCAGGAGCTGCACAATCTGAAGAAATCTTCCAGTGAGTTAGATGCAAGCTTGAAGAGTAGCAGAGAAGAGGCCAGGACTGCTCAGAGATCTTTAGAGGCTTTTAAAGAAGAAATTGCTACCCTGCTCAGCTGTGGATCTGCAATAGTTAAACCTTCTGAGAAGGCCATATTGGAGAGGATCCAAGAAATAAATTGCAAAGAGGAGAATAAAGAAATAGTAAGTCAGCAACTACTGCACTTGCCCAATGTATGTATTTATTCTCTTTGGGTTCTGTTTCATTTTATTCATCTGGTAGAGTGTTGGTTCCTTCTGTTTAGGTTTTGGAATTGCAGAAACCTTTAATTTGTTGTCTATTGATTTAAGGTAATAGGGGAAAAGCATCTATGTTTTGCTAAGCAGGAAGAGTTCAGAAATTAAATTAATAATAGATGATGTTAAGAAGAAAAGACTTGGAATGGTCTTTCACTTACAACATTGAAATTTGGTTTCTGTGCCAGCAGACATCAAAGGTGGCTGTTTGCTTGCCATGATTTAGTAAAACCTGTGAACAAGTATGGATTTGCTGCTACAATGGTGACTTCAAGAACTTACTTCTTCCTCAAAGCAGATATAATTGATGAGTTACCACAGGCAACTTCTTTCCCTCCAGTCCTCAAAACCTGCACCTAAAAATAAAGATGTGTTTTTCCATTTACAGCTAAACATTATTCAGCATCCAAAGGTAAAAGGAAGGCTCTGGCTTGAGGCATTTGGGCTGGTAGTTTGCAAAGGTGTGTTTGTATGTACAGACAGAGAAGGGTCAGCTCAGGAGGAAGGTGAATCAGAATGCAGCCTGACACTGCACTGAAGTTTCTCACTTGCTTGCTTACAGTTTATTAATTTTGTCAGTGAGGACTATTTATATAATTGAAAGTCACATACTAAATCCAAAGCTGCTTTCAGTGAGCCACTGAAAACCAGCTCTAATATTCTTGCCAGATTTTGAAATTCTAGCATCTCCTGCTGATGTGATAGTTTTTAATGACAGCAAATGGTTTTGTATTCTGTCCAAGGTTGGAAATAGTTCTTGAAAATATCCTGTGCATTTTGGTGAAGTATTTAAAAAAACAAACAAACAAAAACCTATGCCATTGGCCTTGTTGCCTACCTAGACACATTGTTGGCTCAGTTTCAGCCAGCTGTTCACCAGCACCCACACATCCTTTTCCACTATGCAGCTTCCCAGCCACTCTGCCCAGCCTGCAGCAATGTTGTGACCCAAGGGCAGGACCTGCACTTGGAACTGGCACTTTGTCTTGTTGAACTTCATACATTGGCATCAGCCCATTGATCCAGCCTGCCCAGATCCCTCTGCAGAGCCTTCCTACCCTCCTGCAGATCCACACTCAGACCCTGTTTTGCGTCACATGTAAAATGGTTGTAATCTGAAATTATCCAGTAGCCACATTAAAAAAAAGCAGGAGGGGGGTTTTTATTTTGCAGGCTGACTGATTAAGCTGAATGAGTCATAAGAATGAAAAGTTATAGAGGTCAGAACTGCAGGATGAAAAATGCAGCCTTGTAAGATGATGGATTAGGCACAGGTGGGTAACAAGGCTGCAGCGTTGTTTTAGGAAATGCCTACCTTGTGGGTTGTCCCTAAGCCAAGGATAATAGTTACACCAGGATGCCTCAGGATAATAAAATGACAGCTTCTGCTCTGCTTCTGTGGTACAGCCCTTCACTTTCTCATGTTTATGGATCTTTGAAGCCTCTGAAACCCCCTCTGCAGCCTGATAAAGGGGCTCTAGGTTTCCAGGCAGCAGCACATCTGGGGGGGGACCACTTACTGAAATTCCTGTTCCTACTGGGTGATGTGAAATGCAAAACAGCATAAAATATGTTTGTGGGTTCTTGCAGATTTATTATTGTTTAGTGTTGCCTACTGCATGAGCATCAGTAATTTCTCAGTGTTTTTAGGCAAGTTGGGGGCAAACTGTTTGTATTTAATTGCAGTTTGAGTTGGAAGCCTTTCAGTGCCATTAAAATGAATGACAGCTCCATGTACTCACTGTTAATTTTATTAACAGAAACCAACAAGACACTTAAAATTAAGAGGCTGCTTGGAGATGAGTGTGTGAACACTGAGTTTCAAATGCACTATGGTTAGCTATGTAACCAAATGACAGTAAGAAGAATACAGAGGGAAACAAGCAATTTGATGTATAGGACTGCCTTTCAGTATTTGGCAGTAGCATAACCAGATACTTTAAAGCATTTAATTTATACATAGTTTACAACTTAATATCCATCACACTATATGCAGGTGTTGTAAGGTTAACAGTGAAGAATTAGAAATTTTTTTCAGAATTGTTCTAGTTGCTTGTTTTGAGATTTTATCCTTTTATCCTTGGGCTCTGGCTAGATTACAGAAATTATTATTGCTAATATTTTTTAAAGCACTATCTCTTGAACACTGCTTAACAGTTACCAGTTGGGAAACACTCCTCTGAGGCTTAATTATCCCTATCTACATTCTCCCCTACATGCTGCATGTATTTTCTAAGTAACTTATATGCTTTTTCTAGTCAACTCCTCCTTTGGCTTATATCAAGGAATGATAGCTGACTGCCCAGGTATTGCTGCTGTGTCCACATCTTTGGAAATTTTCTGTCTGAATTACTTTGTATTGATTTTTTAATACAAAGTAATTGTATTTGACTCATCTTATTTATAGAATGTGCTGCTCATTTCTGGGTGTCTCCACTTCTGCAATTTTTTGCTGGTGGTTACAGATTTTTCTTTTTGACTTTTTAAATGCGTATATTTTAAAGATCAATATTTTGCCCTATTTTTAATAATTTATTGATTTATCTTTCATATCTTTCTAGCATTTCCCACCTAACCCCATATGCTTTGTTGGTTTGCTTACTCCCTAGATGGTATCTCAGCTTGAAACACAATTAGCTAAATTGACTAAAGCTTTGGAAAATCAGACCAGATTGTACCATGAAGCTCTGGAGAGGAGCAGGAAAGCTGAAAAATGTTCTGAGAATTTCCACGATCAACTGAAGCACTTGGAAGAGGAATTATTAACTGGAAACCTGATGCAAGATGGTTTGAAGCTTGAGAAACAAAAAGTAGTTGCACACATTATTTACTTTTGAATGGAAGTCACTAAAGGCAGAAACACAGCTCATTGTATTGCTTTGGTCTACTGGAGCACTGCAAGTAATGTGAAATAGCAAAGTCAGACATGATGTAGGGAGCAATAATACTTTTTCTTTGACCAACAATTGGAAGATGTAGCTAAGCTTTTGAGTCCCAAGTCCATTACTGTGAAACAAAATGAACAAAAAACCCAACCCCCACCCAAAAAAAATACCAAGTAAAAAAAACCCCCAAAACCAAACTACACCCCAAAACCAGCTTAAAAGAAGTCCCTGTCAATACCTCATCAGAAGTCCTTCAGTTATTCTCTGATCTCAGCATTTCTCTCATCTCTCTGTCTTTCTCTAAAACATTATCTGGTCTGCAGTCTCTCAAGATCTTGTCTTTAGTCTTTGATTCTTTTATATTATTAGACAATCATAACTACTAAGTTTTTTTGTCTAATTGTATGAATGAGCACACTGTTATCCTAGAACTCATTCACATACTAAGTAGTTTGACAAATGACATAGTACCTGGAAAGCCAAACACTACAGCTACGAAAAGCAAAGCTGTAGCATGTTTCCAGGCCAGGATTAATGCTTAGAGGAATCAACAGTTTTATGCTATTTGTTTTGCCTTAGACTATGATAAAATAACTTTTTTGAATGAGGCATCCATCACATTGGGAGAAAACCAGACAAAGGAGCGTCTCTTTCTGCTCTGCTTCCTCTGTGAATAACATGTGGGCCTAGATTCTTAAATTATTCTCTACATTTTGCTGCAATGAAGAGACCTTTTTTGTGATTTTTTTTTTCTGCCAATGAATAACTGCAGTGCCTTCCTCTTCTGCTGCTGTTTTTAATTTTTTGAATCAGAAATATAATGAAACAAAAAGATATTCTTGCTAATGAACAAATGTTGAAACTGGTTTATTGGTTTTTTTCCCCTTTTTATTTATTTTGTTGATTCTTTGCAAATATAATGGTTTGCACCAGAAATAAGAGGAAACAAAGTGAAACAGTTCCTAGTAAGAAGGAGGGTTTTGGATTTTGCAAGAGAAGCTAATTGAGAGCAAGAGACTAAAGCAATTTTTAAAGAGCTGGTAGGGCAGGACAAAAGAAGGAAAAACTGGATTGAATACTATTTGATATCTGTATGTGTTCACATCAGTAAACCAGATGGAGATGCAATTAAAATAACCTTAAAAGCAATTTGTAAACCAGTAACTTACCTCAAACCTTGCTGTTCCAAAGAAGGGCTGAAGGCTGACTGTGCTAACATTCCTGCATCTCCTCAGACTACATCGTATGTCATTCATGGCATCCCTGGTGCCAGTTCCCTCTGTTTGATAGCTCACAGCACGGGGCAATCCCAGCCCTTGCTGTATTAATTAGGACACAGCTGCCCATTCTGACTTCTCCTTGCCAATGCACAGCTGTGTAAAACGACAGAGCTCCAGACAGGAGCTGGAGTCAGAAGCAGGGACCTACCTATTGCTGCAGAGAAGCAAACCCCATTTTTTCATGCTAAGAAGATAAATACAGTAGATCTAGGGATTTATGGACAAAGTAAGTGTTGACTAAAAAAAGGACATATGGAGAATTTGCAGTTGTGTCAGGAATGTGCCCAATTACACCCTTTCAGTACATTATTTCTTGTAGTGTACTTTTACATATTGTTGGCTGCTGCTATAGTGGAGGTTGTTTTTAAATTGTACTTCTTCATAACCTTTAATGAAATTTTATTATTCTTCTGCCCACTTTCCCACATCTTAGTATCTGAAATTTCTGGAGCAACTTAATGAGAAGATGAAGCTGGACAGTCTAGCAGCAGAGGTTGGATTTGATATGGCTATGGATGTGATTCTGGCCCGGGTAGAGCAGTTGGTGAAACTGGAAGGGGATGCAGTGGTTGAGAACAAGACTGTGGCATACAGCCTCAGAAGAAAGGTATGCAAAAAAGACATACCATTCAAAAATAAACATATGGCTGTGTTTCTGTAGTGGCTTGCTAAAGGCAGCAGACTGTATATGTGCAAAGAATTTCAAAGATATCCATGACATAAAAAGAAGATAGTGAATGTTTGCAAACAGCAAAAAGACTGCATATTGAAATAACTAAACCCACCAGTCAGTTGAACACGATACTGCTTTTCACAACTTCTTAAGAAAAAACAATGAAGTTATGGGTGTTTATATCTGTATATTTGTCTACTTTTTAATACACATTTATAATTCTGTAAACAACTGCCAGTAATGTAAAAGGATCTGCCAAGGAGGGAAGCACATTACACAAACTCCTCTAGAAACTAGTAGGGTTTTAGTTGTACTTCACCAAGAATTGCAACGTTTCCAACAAGAACTGTTCCTTCATTCAGTTGTTCCTACAGGAACAAGTCTGTTCAAATTTGGTCAAACAACCCTCTGTCATCCTGTTATGACATAGGGAAATCTTTTGGGTTTAGGCTTGTCAGACTGGTATAGATCTGGGAATTGGGTCTGTGTGAGGTTTAAGACAACAGAGAAGCACAATGAATTGGTAATACAAGGAGTATCAAGTTAGGATATATATGCTGATATTTCTTCACAAAGTTTTCAAGAGAGGAAAAGGAGTTCAGGTTATAAATGCAACATGAGGATTAAATTTGCGATTATGTAGTACATCTTTCACATTTATTTTTTCAAATGTCCCTGTGTTTGGAAATCAAGTTGAAGGCCCAGAAAGAAAAACTTGAAAACAAAGAGTTGCACATGAACCTTCTGCGGCAGAAAATAACCCAGCTGGAAGAAGAGAAGCAAGTAAGGGCTGCCTTAGCTGTGGAAAGGGATGAGGCCAATCTTGCTGTCAAAAAGTTACATAAGATGATAGAGAGGCTACAGAAGCAGCTTGATCTGGCAAGGGAAACAAATACTGATCTCAAAGCCAAGCTGTCTGAAACCAGTGAACTTAAGGTGAGTTAAAAGATTAAATTTGTACTACTATCAATTTTTCTATTCCACTTGGATACAGCTGGACTTAATTTAAAATAAATGTATTCATGGAGAACTGCTCAAATCTAGGCAAAAACAAACATAATACTACAATATTTTGAATATTTTACAATTTGTCTTGATATACTAAGTAGCATCTGCAAAGCACAATGTAAATTTTTTGGCTATTTTTACCAGCAAAATATTTGACAAGTCTTTTTAGTACTCTTTTGCCAGGGAAGAGAGTGAACCTTCACTGTGGATTTTCTTTTCTGTCCAGATACCTCTTTTCACAAAACCTGTGGAGAATTAATTCCTGTCTTTGAAGGAAAAATCTTTTTGTTAATTGTGTTGAAATAGGCCTGTCTCCTTAAATAACTTTTTAGCTCACATGTACATGTGATGATTCAATGAAGAACCCAAAAGAAACCACACTAAAGTGCTCCTGATATTTTTATTGTTTGCTCAAGTTAGAAGAAAAAGTATGACAAATTTAATGCTTCCTTTTCTTATTGCAGATCAAAACTTTGGAGCAGAACAGAACAATAGAGGAACTCAGTAAGTCTCAAGAGAAATTGGAAAGAATGAAAGAAAAAGCTGAGAAACAACTTAGATCTGCCAAATCAGAACTACTTTTAAAGGAGCGTAAAGCTACTGAAGATAAAGAAAAAACCAAAAATATGTTAGAAACAGTTACTAGTGAGATGAAAGTGCTTAAAACAACCCTTGCAGAACTAGCAAAAAGAGAGAGACAGGTAGGTGTATAGATATTTGACAAGTGCTAGGTGTCACTTAGAGCGTAGGAAAATGGTATAGGTGGAGCAGCTGTCCAGCTGTGCTTTAAACTGTTCCAAACATTATCAAACAAGGACATTTCAGCTCACACTTGTGAGCAACACTAACAGTTGTGATTGCAAAGATATTCTGCAAGTTAAGTTTTGCAAGAGAATAATAAATACAGGCATTATTTTCTTTGCTCATCACAAAATATTACATTACCTTTTAGGGAAGTGTTAAACTGTTGTAAAATCTTAAGGTATGTCTTTTTCCAAATATCTTAGGTTTGAAACTTACCAACTTCTCATCTGTTTCCTTCTGTTTCTCACACATCCATCCCTTGCACTTTCTCCTTGCCAGTTGTAAGAGGTTCAACAAGACTAAGTGATAGGATGAAAGGAAGCAGCCTCAAGCTGTGCGGGGTGGGAGGGAGTTTAGACTGGATATTAGACAAAATTTATTCACTGAAAGCGTAGTCAGGCATTGGAACAAGCTGCCCAGGATTGAGTCACCATCCTAAAGGTGTTTAAAAGACACCTAGACATGGTTTAGTGATGGACTTGGCAATGCAGCTTAGGAGTTGGATTTGATAGTTTTAAAGGCCCTTTCCAACCTATATGATGCAAGAAGCCTGTGTTACTGTGTATAGGCCACAAATTCAAAGAATGTTGGAGAATACAAGAAACACCCCTCTCTCCCTAAAACTTTATTAGATTTCCCAGCTAAAAATTTTATGGCACGTATTGGCCTTAACAATTACTCTGGATGAAATTTAAGAATGCTATTTCAGAAAATTAGTCTAGAAAAATATTTTTTTATTTATGTGGAGAGACAACCAATAACCTGGGAATCTTTTTTTTTTTCCCCCTGGAAGTCTTTGATGATGCTTTGTTTTATAACAAAGGTTAGAAATTTGAAAGGAAGATTTAATTTCTTCATACATCTCATGAGGAAACAAAGCATCTGACACAGGGAAGAAGATATTAATTATATGCAGGAAAATATTCCATGGAGTCAAACATTGAGTATTTTGCTAAAAGTATAGATACAAATGTTGACTTTTTACCGTCTGAGTCCATGGGGTTTCAAACCATTTGAATATTGTTGGAATATTCTTTGGACTTTTCTTTTTGCTCTCTTTCTGTTGGAATAAGATCCCTTCTACTTTCTTGTAGTTACAGTGTGAAAATAAAATATAGTGTCTGCTTTTTACTTCCTCAAATCCCAATATCTTGGGTGAATGCTCTAAGTTGCATTAATTTCCTGTTTTTTACTTCTAATAATTTTTTACTCACTGAAAGGAAGGTGTAAAGAAAATTTAGCAGGATTGTTGTTATCTGCACCATACCTTTGTGTTTGAGTCTTTAGTGATGTTTATCCTTTCTTATTTGTCTCCTTCATCCAAAGGCCGGATCTTTGCAGAGAGCTGCCTTATCTTTCAATGTAAAGTCTGTATGGAAACAAATCCCAGCTTTGCTGCCTCCTTATCCTGTCTGTCATCCAGATGTTTTAAAAAAAGTCTTTAGCTTCTGCTAAATACTACTTGCCTAGCACACTGCCAGATCCCTGCATCAGTGACCTCCTGAAATAGTGTAGAATGTAATATATGGGAACTTTGGGGTTTTGGTGTAATGTTGTTCCAACATTTCATCCAAGATATCTCACTGCCTTGGTAATACAGATAGCGGGGACTGAATTCTCAAATCACAGAATCAAGGAATGGGTTAGATTGGAACGGCCCCTAAAGATGATCTAGTTCCAACACACCTCCCACGGGTAGGGAAACCCCCCACTAGACCAGACTGTGCAAAACCCCATTCACCCGGACCTTGAACACTTCCAGGGATGGAACAGCACAAGTTCCCTGAGCAAAGCTGTTCCTGTGTCTCACTACCCTCCCAGTAAAGAACTTCTTCCTAACATCTAATCTGAATGTCTCCTCTTTTAGTTTAAAACCCTTCTCCCTTTTCCTACCCCTATATGCTTGTGTAAGGTGTTGCTCTCTCTCTCTCTCTCTCGCTCTCTCTTTTTTTTTATTTTTCAGGCTGCCCTTTAAGTCCTGGAAGGCTGTTAAAAGGTCTCCCTGGAGCCTTCTCTTCTCCAGGCTGAACAACCCCAGCTCTCTCAGCCTGACTTCATAGAAGGAGAGTTCTTCAGCCCTCTGATCGTCTCTGTAGCTCTCCTTGGGAACTGTTCTAACAGGTCCATGTCAGACCTCAGCTGTGTTCTGTATTGATTTCCATATTTGTGTTTCTGAATCGATGGCAGCTCCTCAGGGTTTGAAACAAACAAAATGCCTTTGGCAAAGTCTTGGAAACTGAGACCTGGTTTTCAGGAAAGCAAACCCCTTTCCTCACAGACTTAACTGCTTCAGAATTCTGCACAGTGTTCTTGGGGTTGGAGACATTTCAGGACTGTCTATCTTCTCCTTATCCTTAGCCCTTGGTATGACTGGTGGAGTGAGGATGCTGTCACATCAGAACATGAGTCCAGTTTCTCAATGGTTCTGATGATTTTGTGGCATTTTGGGTCTCTTTCATGCTTGGAAATGGGGATCTTGGCATTCAAATAGAAAGCAGAAAAAGCATATTTCCTCAAATAGTAACATTTTCCTCTTTTATATGTTGATGATAAGGAGTATTAAGGCATTTGTCATTTTGGCTGTGTAATTTATCGTCTGTTCAAGAGGCCTTGAAGTTTGACTGATAATGATACATATCCTGAGTTGAGAAGAGTAAATCAGCGGTGATGACAGCTACTTGTGGATGTCTATTCATTTGGAACTTCAGAGAGAAAGCTGGTGTCTTTAATTAATTACTTTAGCAAATACTATTCCTATGACATTTTCAGCAGCTATGCACAGAAGAAAAACAAGCATTTTCTTAATCTGCGTCTTAAATTTGGGCAGTATCCGGATTCAAATCAAAGTCAGACTGCAGGATGTGCCAAAAACTTCATCTTTCTTCTAACTTCCTCCTTTCTTTTTTCTCAAGAAAGTGCAGGGTAGAGGGGAGAGGTGGCAGATGGTGGTCAAGGACAAGCAACAACCTCTGCTCTGGGAAGTGCCCACCAGAGTTTCCAGTTTGTATAATTTTTGGTCATCTGGGTCAAGTAAAAGTGTGCTTTCCTCAGTTTTTGGAGTTGAGTCAGCAGGGAAGATATGCTTGTGAAAAATACTGAAGAAACACTTGAAAACTGTTTTGTGTTTGAGATACTTGACATCTCAGCTGTTTGTTGTTTTGTGATTTGATGTATATCCCAAAGGGCTGTTTCTGTCCTTTTCTGCTCTCTGTATTGAGCAACAGCTGAAATGCCTATATTAGCACTGACAACACAAGTGCTTGTGTTTGTATGTATGGCCATATGTACATGTTTTCCTTGACATCTCCCTAGCTTCCTATTTGATTTATTCCTTTCTGTTTGCTCTCGCAGCTGGCAGATTTCCGAGAGGTGGTCTCGCGGATGCTGGGCCTTGACATTGCCAGCCTGGCTCTTCCTGACTATGAAATCATTTCACGCCTTGAAGGGCTGATTCACTCCCATCAGCACCTCTTCTTCCCCTGTGTCTGCCTCAAAGACATGGCAAGGACCCCAGAGGAGCAGCAAAGAAACATCCAGCTTCTTCACTGAACGGAGATGGAACCAAGTAAAATTTTCTGTTTGCTTCCTTACCTGCTGGACCTCCACAAGAAACAGATCCCTATTTCTGCTTCCTATTCTTGACAACCATCTAGGGCTGATTTTTTAGAACTTCAACAGAGAGACTGGTTGGAATGGGTAGAGTCAAGCCAGCAGCCTGGAGATGGCAAACAGAAAATCCTGGGTAGCTTAATACTTCAGTTATGAAATTGGTAGGCAACACATCAGCAATGCCCTCAATGCCCCTTTCAGTGCAGAGGCAGTGAAGTGATGGGTCACCCCAGGTCAGCTCACAGTTTTGAGAAGTTACTGGATACCTGCTTCAGTGGCATTCCTTGTGTTTTACCTCTAGGTGACAAGGATGAAATCAAGTAGGGGTTGTTCTTCTGCTGTTCTTCTTGCCACCTGGGACATCTCTGCATTTTTACACATGAGGGCTTCAACACAATTGTCTGCAAGTTAGAGGATTATCTCAATTTTGGAACAAGATGGGTTGTTTTTTTTTTCTGTTGGCTTCTTTTGTCTGCTTGTATGGCAAAACAAAAAATTTCATTTTTGCAGCAAAGGCTTTCTCACAGGGTCCTGTCATTTGCCTCATATAAATATATTTGGTAAAATTGAGTGTTGGCCTTGGTCATGATGTCTTGAAAAGTTTGCTTCCAGCTGCTGTATTCCTTGGGCAATTAATCCGCATGGCAATTCTTCTGAGTTAATGAAAAATTATTTTAGAATTCTTGTTCACTACAGAAAATAGCTGAGTGTTTATTTTCAGAGAAGTGATGATGAGGTGTACAAAACTACCTCTTAATCATAAAAACCGCTTTCTGAGTGTTGTTAAACTTCATGTTTTTTAAAAAGAAATATGGACAATAAATCTGTTTTAATAGCACATTCAAACTTGATTCTGTGGTTTTAGTCGTCTCTTCCCATTATAGGTTTTGTATGGTTGTGTAGAACAGTAAAGATGACTTACTTATTTTTGTCTTGACCACTTGTGGGCTTTCTACAGTATCTCAGTGAATGATGACCCACTCAGTAAAACTGAACACACTATTTTAAGAAAAATGACACTTTTTCAAGTAAGAGTGGTAATTTGGGTATCTGGCTGGGGACTCAAACCATGTTTTTATTTCTTTGGCTTCTGAAGAATTGTTTCTCATTGACTTGCTGTAAAATAAAGAAATAAACACTCAAGCTTTTGTAAAATCAGTCATTTGAGAAGACAGAAATAAAATTTGCATAAATTCTTATGCTCCTGTGGCTAACTGGATTGAAATCAATTAAATTTTTTGTTTTGTAATGTAACATTGCTTTGGGGGGAATGACTTCAAATGGAAAGAGAGCAGGTTTAGATTAGATATGAGAAAAATTTTTTTCTTTTTTGGTGTGGGTAGTGAGGCACAGGTTGGACAGAGAAGTTGTAGATACTCCATCCCTGGAAGTGTTCAAGGCTGGATGAAATGTAATTTTTAGGCGTGATATGTTGATTGGGGATTTAGAGGCTGTAAAAGGAGGCAATGATTTTCTAATTCTTTGTGAGATAATAGAAGTAGTTTCACTTTGTGTTTTGTTGGTTTTATTGGCACTTCTTTTTGATTTATTACTAAATAACAAACCCCACTTTCTTCATCCACATTAATAAATATCATACAAAACTTGATTAACTGTATTTTGAAAGTTAAGTAAATTACATTACAAATTCAGGTCCACTCAGCCTAGATAATACATTCATAACATTAAGAAATAGTCTCTGAGAGTGACAAATATAAAGTAAGGTTGCATTGTAAAATGACTTCCTGATGTCTGCAATGAGACTTGAAGGCTCCTGTCAGGCCCATGAGCCTCGTCCCCTGCCACCCTGTGACCAGCCCTGGCACCAGCAGTGGAGTTCCAGCCCCACAGAAACCACCAGCACGGGTCTCTAAATTATTTCAAAGGAGGCAGATTTTCACATGAAGTTCACAGCAATGCTTGATTAGCGGTTTGTGTGTTAAGCCAGAAGAAGGAATAAAGGTTTTCTAATGCCTTTTATTTTTTTTTTTAGCCCAGCAGATCTGTATTTTCTGAAGTATTAATGCTCACCATGTTCAAAAAGGACTATGACCTATTCCTAATAATTATAAATTACTATATTCCTAATATTAGTATTAGGAATACTAATATTCCCTGTATTTGCTTCACTTTTGGAAGAGCACTGATATATTTCTCCATTTAGCTAAAGAAAAATAAATAAATAAATAAGAAGCAATTTGATTCGCACAAAGTTCAAGTGATTTTTTGACCTATATAATTTAAGTAAGCCCTGGAAAAAACTGACATTGAATTTTTTTTTAAGACTTGTTCCATACAGCATTGAAGGAAGTCTTTCTTGGGAGAAAATTAGAAGAGGCTTATGAATGTTTTGAACATTTGTTTCAAATGTTTTTTTTTTTATCCAAGGTGCATACATCACAAGACAGGAGTTGCAAGTGTCTATTAATGTTGTGTCAGCAGACACCCTCTTCCCATAGGTTATTTTTACTAGGTTTGTCTGTATTAAAAAGGTGTGGGATTAAGAGTTTACTATCTTATCATAATTACTCTTTTATTGTGGTAAAGTGTATCAAATTCTTGATTTATCAACAGAATGCATTCCAAAATAGAAGAAATGTATGTTAACTCACAGATCAGTATAGCTATAGAACTACATTTTTTTTCCTCCAAATAACAGCTGAACTAACTTCAATGATGACAACTTTACTAAGTGTCAAGGCAAAACTCAACAAATTAAAATGTTGCAATTGTAGATATTAAAGTGAAATTATTTACATGCCATAAACACTGTAAAAATAAAATCACAAAGTGGATAGAAAAATGGGTGTTAGAGTGTTATAAGTGTTTTAAAGTACATGGAACTGAAGTTTTGCCTATGCATCTTATGATTGATAATACACTATTTGTAACACAGCTGAACCATGCATCAGAATATCAATGTAGTAGAACCATTGTTCCTCAAAGAAATTAAGCGCAAAAGTATTCAAGTACTTGCTAAATTGGAATTAAGATGCATCAAGACAGATCACATTAAATTACTCTTTGAGCTCTGTTGCTCTGTAGTTTATTATTACAGTATAAAGCAGTTTGCTTGCTTTTTCACATTTTCAGTGGATGTATGCATCATGCACAATTTCCTACAGCTGTTCTGGTACTGGATTATTTTGCACATTATGATGGCGAGGGAGGAGGGAAATATGAATGACTCAAGTCATAATAGATTTTAATTTAAAAAATAGCAGATGAGGAATCAGGTACATTTTGAGAGAAAAAGTAATGTATTTTACCAAAATCTTCATGTGAAATAGAAGTATTTTGTAAAATTACAGGTTCTAACTTTTTCTCTTGACCATCTAAAATAAAAAGGCTGAAGAATGAAGCAAAATGAAGTAAAATTCTCTAGGAAATTAGAGAAAAGGGATTTCTTGTATCACTGAAGCATGCAAAACAAAATTAGTCAACTATGTGGAAAATAAAAAAATGATAGCTTGCCAGAATAGAAACTGGAAAGAATGTTCAAAGATAATCCTTTTCAAATGGAAGATTTCAGATTTTTTTGTCAAAACAAGTAAGAATCCTCTATGGAAATATTTTTTTTTTTGGAAGGCAGATGAGTTTATTAGATTGCACTCATAATTAGTGAGGAATAACTGAGTCAGAAAAAAAATCTATGAAACATAACAATGTGTTTGAACAAAATAGTTTATTTTTCTGTCAGTTTTAAAGTCAGCTAATGAGCCTGGAGACAATGAAAAAAACTTATTTTCAGATGGGAACAAATAAAACAGTTGAGATATGTTATTTCATTTTTTTCCTCTGTGACTACTTACACTTTGGATATGTAGGAGAAACAACACAAAGAAGATTGCAAAGTGTGAGCCAGTGGGCTCCAGACAGGTTCCAGGTAGAGAATTCAAGTGTCAGATGGCTTCTGGTAATGCTGAGGATGGAGTGGAGAGCAGGAATTCTCACCAAACTGGGAGCTGGATAGGTTTCAGCCCTAGGTTATGAGTACTTTTATAATTTTTGTTATAATTTGGTGTTTTTGTAAAACGATTTGGATTTTTTTTTTTTTTTTTTTTTTTTTTGAATGTTAGTATGTTGGGTGGGGAGGTTGAGTGCTTGGTTATAAACAAAGCATTCAGCTTTCTATTATTACTGCTTTTAAACAGGCCAACGGATGCAATTTAATCTGGAAAAAAAAGAATCTTGCCCACAAAACGCTGGGAGCTCTGATTACAAAACAAACACGTGATGGCACCCCTGGAATGCTGGAAGACCTTCCCCAGGGCTGGCAGCAGCATGCCAGCAGAGCTGACTCAGCCCTTTCCCCTCCTGGTCATGGTTTTGTGCTGTGAGGAAGAGCACGGCCACGGCAGCTCTGGGGGCTGTGGCAGGGCATGGGGGGAGCCTTGCAAACAGGAATGTAAATCTGGGCACCCCAAAGAGGCACCTCTGCTCCCAACAGGGAGTGCCTGCAGCCTGAAAACTGTGCTTCGATTGGTGGCTTGGGCTTAAGCTGGCACACAGTAAGGAACAGTAAGAGTATTTCTAGCACTATTTCACTGAGTATTTAAATTTCCTCTGGGTACTCTTCATACTACACCAATGATGTAAAAATATGCATTATGAATTTTAAAGTAACAGTGTGAATTGATATGGTCAGCCACTGTGGCTGACTTGCTTTTAGAGGAGGTCAGAGACTCATGATTAAACCAACAGGCGTCCCAATGGACTAGCAGAAAAACATGACTGGCAACAACTCTCAGACCTTTATCTGAAGACTTTTTTTTCTTAGTCTCTACATGCTGCATTGGATTTGTTGTTGTTCACAATACCTTTCTCACCTGGATCTTTCCCAGATCACTTGCCTGCAGCAAAGTCTCTGTGCTCAGTCCTGTTCTTCATCCAGCAAGGTTTCACATCTGCACCTTGCAAGGAGCCCCAGAGTCAGCTGGGTTGTGTAGGTTTGCTGGAGAAACCTGTCCACAGTTTTGCTCTGCCACCACTTTCCATCCGTCAGACCTGGCAGCCTCCTCCTGCACTTTATCTCTAGTCAGGGTGTGATCTTTGCACGCTGTGTGGCACTCAGCAGACACCAAGACACAGCTGAATCTCTCGTCTAAGACTGCAGAGCCTTTTAGATGCTTCCTCCCCATTCTAAGTATTTTCCTGGAGCTGCCAGGTCAGGGACAGTCAGTCCATGTTTGTGTGGGTGGGAGAAAGAGCTGAAATGTTGTGGTCAGCTTAAAGGATCCTACGAAATAGCAGGGCTGTGTCAGGCATGCGGCCACAAGGGGACAGATATGTACTGCGGGATCTGCAGGGGAGGTGGAGCTGCGAGAAGGAGAAATAACACGAGGGTAAAATGATGGCAGCAGACGAGCCAGGACAGGTGCAGATTCTTGTGAAGCAGGCTGCAATGATTTTTATAGCAGAAGTACTACGGACATCAGTGTAGATGGATGGAATCCTGCAGATTATGGAGTAAAAGTCCCTAAGAGCTTCCCTTAGACATCAGTCCAAACCAGGCTGTGCAGAAAAGTGCTGGGCTAGTGCTGGTATTATCATAGTAATATCAATGCTTACTATTTTTGATATTGTTTGGTATTAGAGACATTTAGAATTATACTTCCATGGTATTACTCCAGCACATGACAGCACTATGTAGTCCCAGCTGCCTTTGAAAACACGGATTGGGAACAGTGGAACAGAGGACAGGCAACACAACTGGGTGTGTCCAGCACGAGTGGAGAAGCAGTGTGACTCATATAGCACAGGGATCTAAATCTCAGCATGTATTGATGACATTTACTGCCTGAGGGGCTGTGGAAGGAGCTGGGAACACAGCTGGGTGTCTGAGATGCACCTCACAAAGTCATGGAGCTAAAATGTATTGATCCAAGTGGCTAAAAATATCCCTGAAAACATTTTTCTGTGTTTACGATTAGGAACTATTAATTTCAATAGCATGAGACAGGAGGCTGTGGAGAGTGTAGGGATCAAAAAGAATAAATATTTAAAAAAGCAACCAGTAAACAGACAGGGATTTAGACTAATGACCTAAACAGAAAATAATGTCATGGGTTTAGGGCTGCACAGACTAATCCTCTGGTGATAAATCTTAACTGCAAGGCTTTATAAACTTCTCCTGACTTGTGGGTGAGCTTCAGGATAGAAACAAGAGGAGCTAGTTGCCCTTGGAAATCTGCTGGTAATGTAGAGGGAAAAAAGGATGCTGGAACAGGAAGAAAGACTGGCTAAGTGCCTGAAGACTGCTGCCCAGCTGGGTTTCGAATCAAGACAGGTAAGCTTCCTTTCACAGTGTCATGAAGCTCTACAAATGACAATGTCTGTACCAGCAAGTGATAGAGATCCAAAATCCCCCCAGTTAGGATAACAGTTTTTCACAACAGCTTTTTTATTTTTAAGTGGTGTGTCTTCAAATACTTTGTAGTTGTTTATAGTGACTCCCTGGCCTAGTCAAAGAAGAGGTTGTATTTCTCAAAAAATATTCTCTCTGTGGTTTTCCTAAGAAATTCTTGACTGGGCTGGTTTGGAAGTTCAGTTTTTACATGTATCTGTAGTATCATTGCCTGTAATGCAATATGATGCTTTGCTTTTATTTACAGGAGGAGGGAAGTCTTCCTTGCCAGATGGCAGAATTTATTTATTTGAAAACTCAAGCCAAAATGATTCAGCCCTTCCTAAGAACAAGACTAATGGAAAACCTATAATTTGTCTATATCTATAAACAAAAATGTGGCAATTTGGAGCAATTCAGGCCAGAGTCAAAACTAAGTTGCTTTGTAGCAAGTGTTCCTGGCTTGCTTTGGACCAGAGCAAAGGTTGACACACCTTACTTCTCCCAGTGCTTTATTAATTAAAAATAAACAGGAGTGGAAGGAGGGGACCATCTCCAAGCCAGAAGGAAAAGGAACAGACTCAGGAAGGAGCTAGTTATGGCAGGTTTCACAGGGAAGGGAAGAGAAGAGAAAGGAAGTTCACTGGGAGAGATGCAGTAATGGTATGCTGTAAGATAAAAAAAGAAAAGGGAGAGAGTGTGAGTAGCTGAGTAGGGATTTGGGAACAAGTGTTTGGGAGAGCTGATGATTGGGAAGCAAGCAGCAGGCAATGGTGAGGATGGGAGCATTTCAGAACTTCCTGGTCATAGACCAGGATGAAGGACAGGGGAGAGAGAAGCCAAGGGCAAGAGGCTGAGGTTGAGTCTGTTGGGTGCAGTAACAGGAAACCCAGGAGCAGCATAAGAAATCAGCATTTGCATCTCCAAATAAAGCAGGAAGAATGGGAGGAAGCAAGGTAACATAGTAGGATGGAATCAACTGCACAAAATGTTCCCAGCATCACATGCCAGCAGGAGATGGGACACCTCGGCAATCCCATAATGAAGTAACTTGTTGAAAAATGCAATAAAGTGCAAGGCAGAAGGATCACTGTATCCCCTCATTCTGTCCTTGTGCCGAGCTGCACATCTGTGTTGCAGCTGGACCTGATACTTCCCTACTTTTCCTGGGCCCATTTCTCAGCTGCATTTCCTGACAAAGTATGGATCTTCCTGTAGTACATGAAACCCTCCAATTTAACACTTGCTAAAGGAAAAAGCATTTCAGCTCAGTTGCAGCTTGAATGCCATCACTTAAACTCCAGGCTGTTTGATAGCCCATATAGAAAGTGGGTTGGAATCATGCAGGAATCACATTTAGTGGTTTTAAGATTGCTTTCACACTTTCTTGTAAAATATCTGAATATCATTGCCACAAATAGTTCTAAATGGTCATAAATATAGGGTGCTTTTTGGCATTAGTAAGTTCAAAGAAATTAGCAATAAAACCAGGAAGTTACAGCAAAGAGAAAACTCCCCTGTGTGGGATTTTTCTGGAGCAACCTGTTATAACTTACACCAGGGGATTTTGAAATGATAATTAAGAGCAGTCAAAATATCTGAATCCCAGATCTTCTAATTATCACAGAATATATTTGGGTTTGGCTCTCCTGGAAGCTTACCATAATTTTCCAGATGGGTATGTTGGTTTTAGTTCCACATGATAAACAATAGGAGATCTAAAACAAATTGCAAAACTTTCAGCTTCAATTTAAAGAAAAGGACACATATCAAAATATGTCTATAAAAAAAATGAAAGAGTTGTAAAAGCCCCAAAGTATCAGCCAGCAGGAGCCAAGTGCTGTGAGGGAGTAGGAATGATTGGTCTGAGGACTCAGGATGCTGGAGCCACAGAGGTGTGCAATGAGGGAATGGGACCAGATTGCAAACTGGTGCAGAATTACTGAAGTCTCCATGTAGTTATAATGTATGTTCCTTATACTCATCCAGACACATGATAGCCTTTGTTTTCTAGTGTGTAACAACTCCCAGTCCTGAGTCTGTGGTGTGCATTCATCAAATAAGATAAAGTGATGTTTGCCATATTGATATTTGCCATTGCCTCAGTTATAGGCAGTTCACATGCAAGGTCAATTACATGGTGTTTGATTATTCTTGAAATCCAGTTAAAATTCCTGCTTGAAACAAATGTAATTTTTTCAGGGTATTTTGGTGCCTTCTAGTGCTTCATCCCCCCACTGAAGGCAGCTCATTTAGTAAGTGTTAATTCCTGTTTCTCCAGTAGTACAGCAATGGCAACAGCTTGCAAAAAAGGTTGGTAAAGAGCACCTGGGTAGGTCAGCAACACAGAGGCAGAAAAGGAGGGGCTTATTTGCTGAAATTAGGTAAATAAGGCAGGGAAGATCTGACAAACTCATGGCAGTACCTGTGATCAAGGTTTGACAGGACTATCAGTGGGGCAATCATATGTGCACAAGTCTGGAGAGAATCTGATCACTCCTGTTACAAGAAAGGGACTGGAATAGATGGATTTCAGGAGGATTTTTGTCCATCCAGAAGTACATAGTTATGTATCAAAGATCTGTCCAAGGTTGGTAATATTTTCAACAACATAAATAGCTATAGCAGTATTTTGCCATCCTGTTTCTATCCTCAGCTTTGCAGTTAGAAGCTATAGTTAAGTATTTATTTATATTTGTTTTTAAAGCCTTATCCATAATAGAGTAACACTGCAGCTTTTTAAAGAGCAACAAAAAGGCTGACAGTTTAAAAAGTAAGGAAATTATATTTTATGAAAAAATTTAAATACTTTGGCTACTGTGGAATTTCTTATTTAACTTCTAAGTGTCCTTTGCTCTTCTCAGAAGCCTAGGTAGTCCAAATTACATGGTATAAAAAAGCATTAAGTTTTCAAGAGCATCTTTTTTAACAAATTACATTATATGTGTACTTGTATGTTTTAGTCTATTACCAAATACTAGCAGGAATGAGTACTTATATACAATAATACTTATTGTATATACTTATAAAATACAATATCTACAGTAAGTACTAAAATGAGTACTTACTGTAGATATTGTATTTTACTGGCTAAGCTAGTGTGAAGCATTATGGTGAAGCAGGGAAACATATTACAAAGTTAAGAAATAATAAAGAAAGGTGAATGCCAGTTCATAATATAATTTAGGAGTTGCCTTTGTAGGAAAAAACCTGAGAACTCTTATCTGATTTGTTTTCAGAGATGTGATGCACACATTTGCAGAAATTTGCAAATAAAATCCCCCAGCTGAAAGGTAAAAGTCAGCCTAGTGCTTTTATCTGTGAAGCAGGCAGAAATTGTCAGTGACAGAAAGCAAATTCAGAAAAACGGACGGGAAAATATTGACTGTGTAAACATGGAATAGCCAAAAGAATTGGGGGGCAAAATGCCACCAGTGCTGTTGCTGTCACGCAGCGGGACGTGGAGCCTGTTGCTGAGCAGTCTTGTGTCAGTACTCATGAGGATGCTCTGTCAGGGCTTCAAAAGCTTGACAAACTAATTCAATCAGTTGGTCACTATCACAGAGCTAAAGAATCAACCTATTTCACATGACAGATCAAGCAGGTGCCTTTTCCAACGTGATTTGGTTTAGGTCAGCTGTCAGATACAAAGAAGCAAGTCCAGCATCATTACCCAGCTGCTGCTGCCTGCTTAGTGCAAAAGCCACTGGAAAGCAACATCCTGAAGAGCTGAACACATCCAATCCCAAGAGGATCAGAATTTGCCCTGTTAAGGCTAGGTGAGTTTGACATATTAAGAACATTATACTATGTTAGGTATCAATGTAGGCATCAAAAAGAGTCCTGTTGGCAAATCTTCCTTATGCTAAGAAAATGTGGTCTTTTATAAGAACAGCTGAGTTATTAATGGAGTAGAAATTTTCTTTGAGTACCCTGCAAGCTTTAGTCCCTGCTGGAAGCAACTCATTCTATTTATAGCTTTAGTACAAATTTTCTGAACACAGTTATTGATTCAAATTTTATTTCATATTATTGCTAGTGATTTAGCTAAATAGCAAGATAAAGGTACTTGAGCCAAACAACAACAAAACAACAGAAGAGTACAGAACTGAAATGGGGCTTGATATTCTATTAACCAATTAAAGTTTTTATTCTGGGGCAAAGAAATACACATTTGCCTTTAACAGAATGACCGACCAAATTGCTGTCAGTCAGCCAATCTGATAAAGGTCAACTACCGAAAACCCAGTCTGTCAGTACACAAACTAAGTGACCTGGGCAGTCAGAAGTTCATTTGTTGTTTTGAAAGAAAAGTACACTATTTTCAGAGATGCATCTGTTCTGCATCAACTACAAAACCTTAAATGAAATTTTATGGTGGAAATAATACTATCAATTTTCTTCATTATACTCCTTGCTCATTGGGGCTTCTTTGGGTATCTTCACAACACAAACTTAGTTTAAACAAAATTATATATTTTAAGTCCTTCAAAATGTTGTTTATTTTTATTTTAGTCAAACAATTCTTCCCAAGAGTGAAACTGGTTGAATTAAACGGACAGGGGTGGAAAAGAGGAATACAGCCACTATTCCTAAGACACTTATTTAGTGTAGACATTCACATTTTAGATTGTAGAATAAAACTTTAACTGTTGTTTACCTATTTTCAAATTACCTAACTATGAAAATATTTTAAGCAGGTTTTACTCTCTGTAGAATGCTGGCCTAGCAAACCTGGCTGTGGCACCTGGCAGCGGAGCCGACTGATGCTCTCACATGGCTGATGCTCACCAAAGGAAAGGGCCAGGACAGGGCACCCCAGAAACCTGTAGAGTAACTTTCCTAAGCAAAGAAGTTTGCACAGGAAATGTTTATCAGTTACTCCAAAGAAATTCCCTTATGTTCTTGATTAGGAGTTGATTTATTCCTTGCAGTCTTGTTTATATCCCTCCTAAGAAAAGAATTAAAAAATATGTCATCCTCTAAATGTGGTTGCCTGCCTGACCATTGGGTGGACACATGTTTAATTTTGGAGTCAGCCTGAATAGTTGCATCACCACACTGATCTAAATCTCTCCCTGCCATGTCTGACCGGGATCATTTTGAATGTTGCAGCATTCCTCATGCCAGGGAACAATTAGCATTTCAAGTGTAGGTACCTTTTGGTTTTGTATAAATTTCAGGAACTCAGATCTGGCAGTAAAACTATCATGCAAATTAGATGTTCTGTCTTAATAGGTAAATTATGTACTTAGTCTTTTAACATCCCTTTTTCTTTTCAAAGGTACCACACGTACATTTTTTATTTGAAAGAGGGAAGTCACTCCCCCTGCTAAGCTGCAAGTGTCTTAGACACTTATCTCTTTTGTCCTCTCACTTGCCTCAGTTTTGGTGTCTGTTGTCTGCAGTCACTTCTTTAATAAGGGTGATTGTTTTCTACATCCGTGTTTTACCTTTCAAAAAAAAGGAAGCTTAAAGGAATTAAGATTTACTCTGACTTGAATGTAGGATATAGTAATTTCCTTATAGAGCTGGGAATAGCTTGTTACAGAATAAATTACATAAATGCTGTGTGAAAGCACTGCACAGAAATCCTCAATCATATAGCTGAATATATCTGCTTGCATGATTCCAGTAAATAAGTGATTACTGAAAATGGCTGCTAATTCTTCTGTTGCTCAGATGGTGCCAGTTTCAGAAGGTAGAAAATACAAATTTATTATTGTTTGTTCAATCCCTGTGTTATTGTGTACTTCTGTTCCCTTATGAAGCTGGAGACAAGCAGAACTATTTCTGGTTTATGTGCTTGTTTGAGCAGAATCATCACTAGTGTCAGCATTACCGTAGAGAAGAAATTGATGCCTGTAGGCTGCCATACAAGCAAGAGGGCATTTCCCCCCCAGTTTATACATTCTGTGCTGTGAATGCATAAAGGAATATGTAAACACATATTAGCAGTAGTTGTGGACATTTGTGTAGCACTGAGACGTGTGTGTGTGTGAAGCAACAGGCTTATCTAAGGAGATGCTGCCTTCTCTAAAGTGGTTTGAAATGAATCAAGGTGGCAGTATTTGGGAGCCTGATGCCTAGAATTTTAGCTATCACATTCACCTCTTTCTTCGAATGTGCCTGGAGGATGTTTTGCTGGCAGCTTGCTCTCCCCCAGCTTTCCACTGTCTGACAGACCTCTGGGGGCTTGTGCCATCATTCTTTCCCATCTTTCTCCTTAGTGTCACCAGAAGGATGTGGGTAGAGAAGTTGAATGCTGGCACCCTGATTCCTGTCCCACGAGGATTCACCCCAAGTGGCTGTGAAGGAAGGGCTTGTTCACCATGATCCCTCTAGAAGTTGCTCCCTCTGACTATTATATCTTTCCAATTGCAAGTGTATCTCTCTCACCAATCCCAGAGGTTCAGGAACACACAGCCTCTTCAAAAAATCCTGAAGGGAGAAAGGAAAACCGACAACAGCACAGAAGCTCCTAATGATGCAATTTTCATGCCTGATTTCTGATTTCCTTCTGAGCAAGTATGCTTAAGAGTGATGGTTATTGCACTAAACTATAGATTTTCAATCATAAGCTTGGAGTGGTGAGCCTAGCCTAAATAGTTTTCAAGAAAGAGTTAAAGAAAGAGGAAGATACACTTAAGCTTTTCTTCCTCACCCCCTTCTGAACTTACCTTGCGTTGAGCAGACATCAGACACCATCCTGATGAGATAGAATAGCTGTTTCTTGTTCTTTCTTTTTCACAGAACTAAATCTAATTTCTTTTTATTTTTCAAAAAGGAGGAACAAACCACAGTAAGGAATTAAACATATCACTCTAAGAACCTTGTAAAAGGGACACATATTAGGTCACTTGGCCCAACAGTAATGTCTTGATCACGCAAAAGTTTATCAACATGTAAGTGCAATAGAAATGTTTCTATTAAATCTATAAAAAATAGTAATTGTAGAGCTATTTTTGTTGCACATTAAAGGATTTATCCTCCACAGCAGTTTTTCCTTGAAACTGTGGAAAGTGTAATACATCAATTTTTATGAATTGATTTGGTTGTTGCCATTTCTATCATCTACATCAAGAAAAGCAAAATTAAGCAAGCAGAAAGCAGAAGAGCCAGAAGAAAATGAAATTTTAAAGGTCTATCTGAATCTCATTTACACTTTGCAATGCAGGTGTTGAAATCTGTTTCTTAACCAGTATATTTTAAAATCAAACAGTGCTCCTTTAAATTGCTTAATTAAGATTTGTGCTCCTTTCTGCTTTACAGACCTCCTCTTGCTTTGAAGCAAACTTAAATTCCTTCAGGAAACAGGAGGCTTCAGAAATGGAAACACCATGTGACAGTGGGGAAGGGCCATGCTGGCCAAGGAGAGTTCATCCTTTCCAGGGTCACTTTGCAGTGATATTCCGTATAAACCCCATATTTCTTAGTGTTGGGATGAAAAGGAGCAGCGATAAAATATGTGTTTTCCAGGGGGAAAGAAATTGTGCTAAACTGTCTCAGTCCACCTCTGCCAGCCACTTTATGTTCCCTTTCAATGTATGGTTAGCTCTCAATTACATCTTTGTTTAACTCAAATTGCTAAAATAACCCCTTTTTTAAAACTGTTTCTACATATAAAGATTTATAGTGCTGGGAATAAAAATAATCATCTGGATTTCATTAAGATTTTCCTGGCAAGTAATTAATGCTGAAAGCATGTTTTGATCAAGCATCTCCAATAGCAGCAATAGTAAGTGAGTTAAAAGCAGCTAACATTATAGAAATAGGTCTACTTGGGCTCTGAAAGTTTTTGCTAGTTTTCCCAGCCCTCAGCAAACGGTGGTGCTAGTACCTTATTTTTCATTCCCTCTGTTTCCTCATTTCATGGTCATATCAGCCTCTTGGTGACTGCCAATGAGCGGATCTCATCATAGCTGAAAATTCAGGAACATGTGCAAAGAAGCCACCCAAATGGACAAGAAATTTGAATATTCTCTCTCCTGGCTTTTTCCTTTAGAATGAGAAGACTGCAGGTATGAATCTGTCAAAGTAGGTAATTAAATTTTTTTTTTGTTTATTTCTGTTTTGATTTATATCTGTTGTGACTTAATTGCATGTCTCTATTTACATGTACAGTAAGTCAACGTGGGTTTTTCTGTGTTATACCTGTTGTGCATTTTTGTGTTCTAGACTATCAGAGCAGGACTCTGTCTCAGCCTGCTTTTGGGGGAATTGGCTTTTGGAGCAATAATCAGTGAGATGTGGGATGCCCTTTTCCCAAAGCAGAAATGACAGCTTATCTACTGTACTCCAAGTAAAATACATAGTATACAGCTCCCTGTGAAGTTCCACGTTGCAGAAATGCAGAAATACTCATTGGCACCACAGCAGTGTTTTACATTGTGCACCAGGCTGGGGAGGTACCTGTGAGATAATCTTACCCCTGGTAATACATAATAACTCTTGTCTGTATTCAGTGGGGTTATTGACTGTATCGGAAACTATCAGCTACAGGTGTACATTTGGAGAAATTTCCAGAAAGTACTGACAACTTGGAACATATAGTGTAGCAGCAAGTGTACAACTCCTGTTCATTTCACCCATTGGAAATGACAAGCTGGAAAAGCCGTTATGAGTTGTTTTGAGAGGTCCGTGTTTTATCATCAGCTTGAAATTGTGCTTCTGGCTGTTAGTCACCGGGCTGCCAAAATTCAAGTGGCTTGAAGTGTGAGAGCTACTGGACCTGCAGGGCAATAACGGGAAGGAGGTTATTTTATGGCTGGTCTCCCTGCATGTGTTGTGTGCTTCCCTCTGATAAGGTGGCTGTATCAGCCCCACCTATTAAAGTTGTCTGACACTTCCCATTGCAGACTTTGTTTTCAGATGATTGTAATGTAGCCAAACTATAACTGTCTGAGTTGAAATCTGACTTCTTGTACTGGTGTGCTGAAGTGCTTCACGTGAAAATTGACCAAAAAAAGTTCTCCAGTTTTGGGGTTTATTTTAATAAAGCTAGAGAAATTGTTTTGCACAGTGAAGATAATCTCCTCTTTGTGGAACTCTGAATGTAGTTGTGTGATCTTCGATCTGCAGGTCATGATTTCATGATCTCATTAGTGTGAGGAGAGTCAGTGTAGACTTTGTATTAATGTAGAAAATGTGGACCCTAATGGATTTTTTCATGTATACTGTGTGGGCTGTCAAAGGTATTTTCAATGTTTGAGACTATTTGGCTCTCATTTCTTGCCTGAGTGCATCTGTGTTTTCTGAGTGGAGACTTGACACTTGGAAGAGAAGTGCCTATTGGCTAAAGGACAGTTTTTATCTCTGTGAAATCAGACCAAATCTGGCAAAGCTGTAAGCTGCTTGAAGAACACGTAATTCCAATATGCTCATGCTTGCTGGATGTTTTCAGCCTTATTCCCTATAGTTTATCTCTGTGTGCCCAGGCTGGGACAGTTCAGGCTGAGCAGATGTCTCCTGTAACTGAAGTTTGTAACTCAAACTGTTGCTGGCTACGCTGGCCCTGGACATCATTACGAAGATCAGGGGCTCTTTCTCTTCGTTGCCAATGCTTTATAAAATTATAAAATTTAAAAGAATTACAGAGGGGACCTTGGTCCAGGGACCAAGCAAGAGACTAGGGTAAGGGATATGGCTGTAGGAGACCACAGAATACAGGGACTGGGGGCCTATGGGGCAGTGAAAACAGTGTTTGGGTTACTCTGCTGGATTTAGTGGTTTGGATCAGCTGGACAGAGAGATTAGGGCAACAAATGAGGAAGGGAGTTGAGGCATAGCCAGAGGTTATTTTACCAGCCTTGAACAGAAGAAATGGGGCTGGTGGGCCATATAGCCCAAGCAGAGGTTTCCTGCAGGAGGGACTGGAATAGTGGGAAAAAAAAGTTCCACTGTAGTGTCTATGAGAAGATGAACTTCAATCAGAAGGCTAAGCAGTAAACCTTTGGAGCAGTAAAGCTCCAAAAGACAAAATGGAAAGACTTATGTGTGAGAAGGGTCCAGTATAAGAAAGGAAAAAATAAGAGGAGAGACAGAAGATGGTTTTGCGGGTTTTGTGGTTCTAGTCATTCACATGAATCGAGGGATCAGAACAATGTACATAACTGAAAGAATGTTACTTTGTTTTTCAGACCAACACAACACCTATTCTAAGTGCTTTTACAATTCTGCAGTGCCAAAACCTCAGAATGAGTAGATTCCAGAGATAAAACATCCCATCCCATGTAACCTTAATTTTGTCCTTGCTTATTTACATCAGGAAAATATTTCCCTTTGCCTAACACATGCACAAAATAGGGGGATTGAACAGTCTGAAAAAGTTCATGTCACACTTATTTCAATAGCAAAGGATTTTAATAAATAGATTACTAGCTGGTACAAGGTCCTCCTGAGCTAAACAGTATGCAATATTTTATGAATTATGAAATAATTAATTTTTAAACCTGAGCTATTTGGTTGGAACCAAGAGGAAAATGAAACCTATATTGAAATGTATACAGCAAAGCAGCAATAGAAATCTACAAATAGAAACAATAATGATAATTAGGCTAAGATTTGACGTTCCTTTACTTTGAATGCCCAAGTTTACAACTCTGTTCTTCTAATTCTTGGAGGAAATTACTTGGTTTTCTCCATAAGACAGTCCAAAAATATTATATTTCATGCAGAGTGGATGATACTGGATCAGGACCCAAGAATGAATACAGAGGGAACTAAACTGCCCCTCTAGGCTCTACCTGAAGGTGTGTAAAGGCTGTGTATAGTTTCCACATAAATTTGAATTACTGCCATGAACACTGATAGGTATTTTCCCACCAAAAGATCAGTATTTAATTAAAATTATGTGCATTAAAATATGGTGCTTTTTCTCACAATATTGGCTGGTGTGCATATAGCTTTATTTTACTTTTGAATCTGCTTGGAAGAACTGTTTAGTGTATCTAACCTTTTGCAAGTTTGTTTCTGTTTGAAGATTTTACCTACTTAATAAGCAGTAAATGAGCTCCCTGACAGAACAAACCTCTCATGTATTCCAATATTCTTTACCAGATGCTGCCAGCTTGTGCCCAGAGAAGATGAGCACCTAAAATAGGTGCCTGCTAGGAATGGTCTCTGGTTGTCTGCTCAATGGAAAGGGTTTAATTTGCTGTTTAGGACCCACCCCTTTTCCCTAGTTATTTGTGGTGCTATAATGAGATGTGCATATCAGGAATAAAGTTACATTGTCAAAATAAAGCTCAACAGTGTGATGTCTTTTGGTTGTCATCTGTTACTGCCTAGAGTCAGTCTTGTTCATGCTCACCAGGGCAGAGCCATGAGAAGCCTTTAATGATGAGCCTTCCTTTCATCAGATGCAGCTGAGGGCTCACATGCTTCACCTCCCAAAATCAGAGCAAATTCTGCCACAAGCAGGGGGAAGGTGTGTGATTTTATAATTTACAAACTGGATGGTTGTACTTTTGGAGAATAAGCTCAAGTCTGAATTCCCATTAGGTCATGGTGATTGTTATGGTAAGAAGGGAGAGACAACAATGGAAAAATATCTTTTAATTGGAACAAAGTTGTGACTATGCCTGTTCCCAAGAACAAATTCTGTTTGCTCTGTGCTGATAGCCCCTAGCTGCACTTAGCAATTTGGAAATTTTGAATTCCGAATAAGAGCTTTGATTCTGTTATTTCCCCCTTTGCATGCCTTAAACATTGACAGAATCAGCAAGAAATGAATAGGCAAGATTTAACTTTTTCCAACCAAGTAACATACAAATGAAACCATATGACTACAAACAATAGCTCTTGTGTCCTATTCTTGCTATTTGTAGGTCCATATATTGTTCCTTTGGCTAGCTACCAGAACTCATAAAATGCTTTTAGGCAGCTGTGTCCCATTAAAGCCACATGTTACATTACATCAATAAGGAACCATGGAAGTGCAGAGCTGACAGGGATTTTAGAAGACCACTTTTTTATCTTCATAGACTGGGAAAGGATCAAGCATGCCACCCTAGAAGATATTAAAAGCCCTCAGAGGAGCAGATTCCAGAACTCTTTAGACTATTTTGGTATTTCTTTTCTCTGCTAGATAACTCTTTGTAATATCCAGCCTTAGTATTGTGCATTTTTTTTTTCTCATGGTGGACACTGTAAGCTGTTGATCAGTATCCTTTTATAGAGCTCTATTACTTATTGTAAGATCACTGTCATATCTGCTCCCAGCCTTCACTTGAGAGAAAAGAAATCCAATTAGCACAGTCTTTTTATTTTTATCTTTTCATCACCTTTTCTGTTTAAAGCCTCTAATACTGTTACAGTTCTCTGGATTCTGATTTGTTTAATTTTTTTCTTGGGAATGGATAAAATTAATTTTTCATCTGAGGAGCCATCAGTGACCAATATAGCAATCAATAGCTTCTGTGGATATGTGTGATGCATTTGCCTCTCAGTCAAAAATTCCTTCTCTGGTGTTTGTGCATTTGATTATATTCTATAATCTTTCTGTAATGTGAAATTAATAAAAAAAATAGAAATTAATGTCTTCCCCAAACAGAAGAGCACATGGATCTGAGTATTAAAAGAATAATTTTTTAAACAGTATTTTTGTTAAAAACAAATGATGCAACTGCAAGGAGGACTTTTTTAGCAGTGTCTCTTAAGTCACAGCCTTCTGAATTTTGTTCTTATACTGAGGTTAAATGGGGAACAGTTTGAAAGATTTTCATCACACTAAAAAGAGATGAATTAGGGGGTGTTTGATAGAAATCTTCAAAGTTATGCATGATGTTAACAGTTTATAATTTCTTTCAGTACATGAAAGATAACAGAAGCCAGGTCCAAAACAAGAAGAAGATGGGTTTGTTTTTAATGCAACAGTCATACAGCAAGTAAATGTTAAAGTGTGTTAGGGTTAACTTATATGTGTGGTAGTTTACATATGTTCAAGGACATGGAAATAAGTTTGCCAAAAATATTATGTACATGGTTAGTAAATGGATAAATCAGGGTCAGTAAATTGACAAACCAGATCCATTCCACAAAATACTCTGAGGGCGAAGAGCTGGAGCACAATAAAGTACTCAGAAATATCACAGGTACTTGTTCCCTGAGCATCTGCTTCTGTTCAGCTCTGAAGAGGTGACACTAGAAGAATTGTCTAGTCTGTGCACCTGTCTGCACCAATGGACCAGTTCCAATGCTGTCATGCTACCAGAAACCAAGGCAGTTTCCTGAGAGTGTTGCCTTGTCACCAGAGTTTGAAAGTTACTTTTTTTCCCCTGAGAGGAGAAATACTATCTCCCTACCTCTGAACATTATTTCTTTAAGGAGGTATTCATGGGGGAATGTGTTTGAGCAATTTATGAGCAGCATAGAATGAAATCAAATATATAAATTACCATTATGATTTAGCAGAACAGGAAAGAAAATGGACTCTACTTCATTAATTGCTATTTAAGAAGTTACAGAAAGAATACACTAAAAATCAGGAGAAACTGAAGAGGAGAAAACCTAACCATTCTATTCTGAGCAAGCTTTATTTAAACAAAGGACAGCATTTCATAATTAGTCTAGCTGTGATATGTACATCGTACAGGTAAGTTCTAATCTGTTCTTCCAAACTTTCTTTGCAAAGTATGGATACAATGACAAAGGAAGTGAAGGGGGGAAGAAGGGCAGAAAAATGAAAGAAGATGCTAATTAAGTAAAAAAATCTGAAAGACTGAAACTGAAAAGAAATATTAATTTAATATTTCCTTCTTTGCTAGTTGAGATCCTTTATAATCTGACAAGTGGCTATACCTTTGTGTATAAATTACTTGTTGAAAAGTAAAACAACATTTAGATAAACTCTAAATGAAGGCTGGAAGTTGAAATAAGCTTCTAAAAAAACCCCTCACAAAATCCAACCCCTTTACCTAACAAATCATGTCTGGCTGGTGCGCCAATGGAAGACATCAAATCTGCAGTAAGGTCAATGGCACGCAGCATTACCAAAAAGAGACATCTGTGTTTCAGACCTTGGAAAACAGATAGCACTGTAAAGCATTTGTCTGCACTCCTTAAGCTCGTTCATGGGCATGGAGGAGTTGCACACAAACATTCTTTGAAAAAATACAGACAAAGTAATTTTTGTATCAGTGGAAACTCAGAGAGGGCAGTAAATCATTGAGAGGAGCAGCCTTCTTTTCTGTCTAGCATAAAGGACTTAGAGATTGGGCTTGCCGTACAGCACAAGGTAGAATGTTTGGACAGAATTTGTGGAAAAGAGTTTATTTTTAAATTCAGGACAAAAGGCAGAGCTCAGGATGGCTATTCTTTGGCGATCAGATAAGAGGAAGATTGATCATCATTATATGGAGGTTGTGGAAGCTTTCTAATTTAGAACTCAAGATACTAGAAATAGCAAAGTTGCTCTTCAGACTTCAGTGCAAGTTGTGTTTTAATCCTCCTTGTTTTTTAATCCACCCAGAATTTATTGGTTAAGGAGTAATATAGTATTTTTGTGAAGAAAACAAAAAGTAAACAAATGAAATGCTACTTCAGGTGGCATATTTTCCGTAAGTTTGATTGTTTAAGATTGCTTAAAAGTTTTTTTGTTGGTTTTTTTTTTTTGTGTGTGTTCCAATGGAGAATTTCTCTTGTCAATATCTTTATGACAAAAATGATTCCCCCAAATTCATATAATGCCTCCATGTCCCAAAGCCTTTAAGAGAATATTGCCCCATTGTAGAAGTCCACGTAGCATTTTTTGCAGTTTATTGCTACACATTCCCTTCAAAAATCAAATCATTCCCCTCGAAAGCTCACAGCTCATCAGCAGAGCAGTGCTGGAGCTGTAGAGAAGACAATGCTGGAGCTGTAGAGAAGGCAGCTCAGACCATGCAGTGAAAGCATCTCTTTACTGTCTGCCTCTTGATTTACCAATCCTTGGGCTTGTTAATTTCTGAAAGGAGTCACAATAGCATGGATTTTCAGCTGGTCCAAAAGATATACTATCGACAAGGTGTTCCCTTTATACCTCAGTGGCTGGCCCCTCCCTCCTCCCATCCCTCCATGTGCCAGGGCACCCTATGCAGGGTGCACCCCGTGCTGTCAGGGACACACTGTCCCCTCTAGATGTGGTATGGGATCCTGTCCTGGTTTTGCTTTTTTCCCCTTTTTTATTTTCCTCCCCTATTGTTTACTACTGGGAACATTGACAGAGTTCATGGTGAGTCAGTGGTAACCATGGACAAGCTGGCCTGAATTATCTATAAACTATAGAGGAATGGAAGGTGACTGGAGAATTAAACAGACTTTTTCCAGCAAGAGGTTAGTATGTCAAGAGGTTAGTGCACTGCTCATGGGGTCCAAGGAGGAACATCCTCATGCAGTGTTCAATTTACTTATGTCCATTGACAGAGGGCTTAAAGATTTTTTTTAATAGGGTTGGAGGGCATTAATGCAATAACGAAACAAGCATGCTGTCTCTTCTGTCTTCTGGATATTAAGTAAGACATGTCCTAAAACTTCCCTTATTATATTATTATCGAATTCTCTGTTCCTTGCAAAATGTTAAATGGTCATAGCAATGTAACTATAGATAACTTCACTGAATTTGGCAATGTTGCTATCCAGGCCAGCTGGAATTAATTTTTAAGATATGATTTTATAAGAAATCTGGTGCTTTTCTTACTGTCACATGGTAATTCACTTCTTTCACTAATTTGATAATTGTTTTTTTGGAGAGGGCCATGGATTTCTGGCAAGTTTTTCTTCTATAATCTAATACTCTTTGATTCACATAAACCTATTGCTAGCCAGTAAATAATTTTTTAGCATTTGTTCCATTTGTTGTTTAACAATGAAGATAAATTTACAAGAAGATTATCAGAAATACCCTCTTTCTTTTTTTTTTCTTTCTTTTTTTGAAAAAATGCCATTTACTTTTTTTTTTCTCCTTTCTTCCAGTATCTCCCTAAATACTAATATTTTTTTTTAAGATTGGCAGCTCTCCTCTACAAGATAATGCTCAGAATTTGCTATGGGATTCATTGTCTGCACTTATGTACAGATGCACAATTCCACTTACCTCCTGCTCTCCTGCAGGCTTTTCTGTCTAATTGCAGAGCCAGAGAATGAAAGCATCTGTAGTGCTGTGGAAAAAAGTGGTCCTGTGCTCTTGGGGAAGCTGAGATCCAGTGCGAGCCTTAGGACGGATCGATGTGCCCGGT